TCAACACAACACGCTCCGGCGGGCAGGGCTCGTGATACGGACTGGGGTTCTGCTCAAGCCCCGGCGGCGGCAGCGCGCGCCGCTGCTGTCACCTCGGGGATTCTGTGAGGGCTGCACGGTGGCTTTGAGAGCTGGTGTGAGGCTTGGGCAGGCAGGTGGAGTCACCTGGGGCTGGCTAAGACGTCACAGGTCCCCAGGAGACAGGGAGGGGAGTCGGGTAGAGACTGTTGGATGCGACTCCTAGTTTAGAGAAAATCAGTGCCCCAGACTCGACGACCAGAGCGGGACCAGGGCTTGGAGACAGCAAGCCCAGCCCAGGGACACTTCCTCATGTCCCTCTCCTGCCACATCTGCTGGAGAACACCCGGGCCAGGCCATGCGTCCACCCTCCGGCGCCACCCTCACCCGTCCGCACGGCCGCTGGCCCCAAACAACGGTAGTCGCCACCTCCCGCGGCCGCCCTCGCGCGCCTGTGCCCCTTGCCTCAGTGACAGAGCTCATCACAAACAAGATCGACCATGGTCCCTGCTTGAGTACAACCTATGGCTCAACGGCAAACAGCAGCCACCAACACAGCTCAGGGGCCCCGTGGCTGAGGGGCCGCCTACCTTTTGGGCCTGGGTCACCACGCTGTCCCCCCACTCGCTGCCGCTGGGGCCCTTCAGCCACATGGTTCTTTCTGGCTCTTTTCAGGAGAAGCAAGGGGTCCGACTGTTCATCTGAAAAAAAGAACAACGAACGCATCGTTTCCCTGGGGTTCCAGACTGTTAGGGACACCGCTTACTGTCCCAGCAACGGAACTCCCGGCCCTAAACTCCGGGGCTCTTTGGACGCCGCGGCAGGAGGAAAGCCTGTCCAGCCCATTCCTGGCGAAGGCTCAGCGGAAGTCAAGTCCGCGGCTCAGGACTTTCCCGACGCCCGACCTGTGTTCGCCGTTCCTGTAATTCGGACCATAGCAAAGTCATCCCATGCAGAGCCTGCCCTGACCGCCCGCAGGCTTCTCCTCCCAGCGCCGTTTGCGACTGCACTTTCACAGGGGTCTGCTGGGTTCTCTGACGCGCACACAAAGGCGGGGCTCAGTCCGCGGGTCCTCGGACACAGCTCCCAGCATGTAGCACACGCTCCATAAGCAGACACTGGCCGGATGTGGGGCAGACGCCTGTCCTGATGGTCATTTCTTCTAAACCACTTCCCCTTAACCCCTCCCGGTCCCCGTGCTCGCCCCGCCCACGACTGAGAGGCTGGTGTGAACCATAGCGCCCCACCCCTGCTCGGGGCGCTCCAGAAGGACCACCAGTGTGAGGGCCCGCGCTGGACACAGCTCCGGGGCAGCTCCCGGTTCCCCAGGACGGATCCGACGTGCCTTGGACACAGCGAGGGCTCCCGAAGCCTGGACGAAGCCTGGGACGGCTCCAGGGCCTGCTGAGGACCAGTGCCCCCAGCCCCACCCCCACAACCACAATCAAACAATCCGGGCTGGTTGGCACCTATGCGGGTTTTACAAGAATCGACGAGTGTCTTTCAGTGTCAGCGACAACTAAGAGCCAGCAAAGGACAGGTTTCCCAGAGTGCATTTCTAAGGCCTGAAGTGTGGCTCCTTTTGCAAAAACAGTCTATGGAAGCACGAACTTTTCATTCCAATCACCAAGGAGATACTCAATTGTTTCCTGGAAATGCTAATAATGTGAAGCTCATGAATATTAATGAAACACTATAGATTAGCAGAGACCAGCAGTGGGGGGCCCGGGGGGGGGGGCCTAAGAGAGAGTTCTCAGATTAAAAAATATAAAGAATACCTTCCCATCGGATTTCCCCCAGACTGGGTTCCCAAATGTTAATGAATCCTCTCTTTGGCTGTATGGAGAACAGACTCAGATAAGCGCCTCTAGGAATCCAGAAGTAAATTATTGACTTAGCTTTAGCTTGAAGAGAAATCTATTTATTCAAAGGCTTTTTTAGGTGCCGTGGGATGGGCGACTGTGAAGCAAAGGTTGGTAGGGGTAGGAGGGCCCGGGGCATTGGGACAGGCACACGGTGCAAGTCCACGCTTCTATCTCAGCCACTCGGCGGCCCGAGTTGGAATTTACTGATTATATTTGGCTTTTATGGCACGATCCCTCAATGACCCGGGCCCCTTGGGGCTTGTGAGGCTCCACAGTAGCAGAAGCCGTATCTTTGTCCATCGTGACTGAACCCTCGACGCCTACCACCACGCACGGCATGAATTAGGTGCTCAACACCTGCCTGTTCAATGCCGAGGGCCTCTCTAAGAGCGCTCTCCAGAGCTCTTCAGCAGCTCTGGTCTCCGCGTCCTCTCCGGCCTGGTTACTAAGCCCCCAGAGGAACACGCCCTCCGCCCCTGGGCTGCAGCCCTCTGCTCTGGGCTGCGGGCCCCCCAGGTGGCTCCTGTGCTTCGCAGCTTCAAACCTTCCTGCGCCTGTAACCTCTGAGCATCCTTGACCCACGCTTCTCTGTCCAGATGCTGCTCTCCTTCCAAGGTCCTCCTCCTCCATGGAAACTGTCAACTGATGTGCTGTCATTGTCTAATTTGAACCACAGCAATGCAGGGCAAAGAGCCTCTGGTCCCAGGAAAGCTTCCGTGTAGGATCAAAGTAGAGAAAAGCACCCAAGTCTTCCCACCACAGTGCAGCAAAATCCCTCTCGGTAGGCCAAACACTGCTGGGCCATCGGGCTGAGGTCAAAACAAAGGTCATGGCAAAGTCAGGGGACCAGTGGCATGGCAAGAAGCAGTGAGTGGCTGCGGTGGGTGACAGGGTACCAGGCGGCTTCCTCTGTCGGGGGCCTGTGGGCCGGGTGGCATGTGGGCGACCCGGGGCACAATGCTGCCAGGCCCCGGGGTGGGGGGTGGGGCGCGCACTGCGACTTCTGAGAATAGTTTTCTTTGTGGCCTGTTGCCTTAAGCTTGGGCGGCCACGTGCTTCCTGTGAACCTTCGCTTGGGCAGGACCGGATTTTTGCTGCCTGGCACGCCTTTGTGAAGTGTCGAACAATGGGAAATCAATCTCTTTGCCATCTTTGTCGACAACCGACCGGGATAAAGGTTTAGGTCAATCCTGGGAGTGACCAAGTTATCCAATTGTCGTGAGAGTCTGTACACCCCGGGCTACTGCCCAGAACAGGTTGATAACACCCGGCGGGGACGGGGAGGCCCAGAGCGACAGCTGTGAACGGCCCACCCCGGGGCGTCCGCAGCCAAACTTCCCAGCGTGGGCAAGGCCAGCTCTGCCACCCCTCGCTGTGGGGCCTGCGCCTCCGTCCCCCCGGTTGCAGGACTGGGGAGTAGCCACGGCCGCCTGGTAAGATCGTCACAAAGGCCAAATGACCAGCAGGCGTAAAGCGACAAGTGCCAACTTATAGTCTCACTTCCTCCCATGGGCCCCATGGCACCGTCACAGGAGACAACTTAGACAACTGTGTGAATTGTACCATGAGGGTGTAGGGCCACCGGCCTGCAGCCCCGGACTGAGGTCACGTGGGCTTCAAAGGACACAGGAGCCCTGGGTGCAGGGACGCCTACAGAGCGTGCTATCCAAGGAAAGAGGCCGCAAGGACAAGCCCCGGGCGCCGCGGCAGCACATCACCCAGGGCAGGGGGCAGGACGACACAGTGGCTCTGGCCCCGGTCCCCCAGCGTTTCCCACCAGGGACCACGTGCCACCCTGCCACTCATTTAAAAGATGGAGTACACAAGAAGGTGATTAGAAAACTACCGACAGAGACACAATGGTTAAGTAACATTATCCTTCGTTCCTCCACTGGCCCAGCAGCCTTGGCAGAGGCTGGACGCACTGAAGAAAGTCCAGGGGTCTGGGTGCTTGTCACGGCTGTGTATCCCCGGACATGTCACCTCCCACCCCGGGTCTTTCTCCATTTTTCAGTGAGAGAGTTGGTTGGGATGAGAAAACCGAGGGCTTTGATTGTTGGGTCCTGGGCAATATCTTGCACCGAGAGGTCTCTTAACTTTTCTGGAATCATGCCTGTCCTCCGAGTCTCATTGGGACACAAGGACCTGAGGATTCCAAAACTGAAGGAGCCTCTGGGACCTTACACATGAGCGCCATGGAGGGGCTGAGGAGGGGCCAAAGGCAGAGGGGCTGCCCTGGACAGGCCACCAGAGCAGACCCAGCCGGAAGGTGGGCTTGGGACGGGAGCAGGGGGTGTCCCGGGACCCCAGCCTAGTTTCCAAGCACCGTGATAGAGCCACCTTCAAGTCCCCTTTTCCACCAAGAAGCAGCAGACTGGGGAGGCGGCTTGGGAAGGCTCGGTTGAGGGACAGCAAGCAGAGACAAGGGTCCCAGGGGTGAGGGAGATGGAAGCAGAGAGAACCAGCAGGTGGTCCCCACCCCAATCATGACGCGTCAGATACAGGCGTGGGATGTGAGGGCGGGGGCCCGGAGCAGGGAATGGGGGTGTGCGGGGACAGCGAGGACCAGGGTGAAGCTGGATGAGGACTGGCGACCTCGCAGCCTGGGGAGTCCAGGGCCTCCCCAACAGGCAGCCAGACATCAGCCTTTCACCTTGTGCTTCAGCCTCCGTGTGCATGAAAACGCCAAGTTGTGTTCGCAAAAGGTTGGCTACAAAGCTGTCCTGGCGGGGTGTGTGCTCAGTGCCTACCCGGTGAGCGCAGCGGGGTGAGGATGGAGAACTGCTCTTGTAGAGGCCCCAGGGAGCCACACACACTGACTGTACAGGTCATTTATCCAGCGACGCTGAGCCTTTCCCGTGGGCTGGGTCTGACAGCCGACTATTTTTACATCCTCAGCCCCATGCGGTGTGTTATCCACAGCAAGAATTAACACATAGAATACATATTGACTAAATGCATGCATTTCTCTTGTTTACGGAGCCTCAATAATAATGTCAGCGAACTCCGGAAACCTTCGATCCCCTCCTCTTTCCTCGGCCTGGGATCTATGACGTTATCGAGGGGTGTACGGCACGCCACCACGTTTTTCTTGAACCGTCTGTTTGCTCCCTTCAGGTGCGCTCTGGGGCGGGCCCAGGCCCGAAGCCGGAGGAGGAAGTAGCAAGTGCGCGAAGCTGTGTCCCCGAGCCCAGCGCTCGGCAGTGAACTGAGCGCCATGGAGAAAGTCAACTCCTTCTTCAACGACATCTGGGACATCCTCATGACCAAGCACCAAGAGGGCCTCTTCAACACCATCTGCCTGGGCGTCATCCTGGCGCTGCCCCTGCTGGTGATCATCGTCCTGCTGTTCGTCTGCTGCCACTGCTGCTGGAGCCGGTGTGGTCGGTGTGGCCAGTGCGGCCAGCAGCCAGAGCGCAGCAAGGGCAAGAAGAAGAAGAAGAAGAAGAAGAAGGGCGAAGACGACCTCTGGATCTCTGCTCAGCCCAAGCTCCTGCAGATGGACAAGAGACCATCGCTGCCTGTCTAGTGAGGCAGGGAGCAGAGGGACGTCCGCCTCCGGGGGCTCAGCTGCCTCCTGGCCACGCGCATGCGCAGGGCAGGGAGCAGTGGCCCCTGACGGGTCCTGCTCACATCCGCGGAGGAACTTCCCGACCAAGGAACAAACCTCGGACGGCGTGTCCCCGTGGAGGGCTCTCCCAGGGGGCGCGTGGACACTTCTTGGGCACTGTCTTGGCAGCTCTGTGGCCAAGAGCCGTGCTGTCTCCTGCAGACTCAGGCACACTTTCCACCTCCTTCTGGCACAGCCCATAGGCAAACGCACAAGGAACACGCATCTGAACATCCTGACACGTCTCCCGATGCCCACACACACACCATGCTCACCCTATACACCGTATGTGACCTGCTCTTGCAAAAGCGTCTCACAGGAGGAGGGCCCGGCCAGATGCGGGCACGCACGCGCAGTCCCGTCGCCGGGCAAGGCTGCGTACTCGCCTCCGTTCCCTCCGCTGCTCAGGTTACAGAGGCGTGCTCCCCTCCTCCTGCTATCCCTGCAAACCCTCTGCTGGAAATCCTCCTGTTGGGACACTTCAGCGACCTGGTACAGCCCCCCTTCCATGTATATGGAGACAGGCCCAGCAAGTTCCTGTGCTCCGGCCCCCCTCCCACCCCGCCACCCCACCTGGGAGGAAGCATTTAAAGTGGGACAGCTCCGGATTCATCAAAAGCTGTTGTCTCGCAGCCCCCACAGGGTCTGCATTACCACGGGTGGGTGGTCCGCGTGGCCCAAGCCCCCTCCCTGTGAGACGCTGCCCCCAGAACCACCGGGTAGGGTGCCCTCCTCCACTCAAGAGCACACAGCTCTGGGCAGAGGCTCCCAGAAAGCCATAGGGACTCAGAGACTAAGGTTAGGACGCTCACTGCGCTGGGCTGCACCGCACACTGTGCCGGTGAGCGGGTGCTGCGCCCCAGCGACGCAGCTGCCACGGAACCGTACGTGCCCCGCGGGGAAGGAGTTAAGGCGATCGCTGGGACAGCCTCACAGAAGGCGCGCCGTCCCACGGTGGTCACTGGAGGCGTGGCGTGGTGCAGGTCGGGCACAGAAGGTACAGTTTAAGGGAAAGGAGGATGAAGTTATTCAGAGGTTTATTAATATTTATCTAGAGGTTCAGGCAAGTGCCTTGCACACAGAGGGGACGCGCTGCTGCGTGAGGATGTGGGGGGTCTGTGATGATGCAAAGGGTAAACTGGCGACACCGCACCAGCGCCACCCTCCAGGTGAGCCCACTCATCGCTGCAACGGGTGGGGGCCGGGTGCTGAACTCTGGGGGGGCGGGCCGTGTGCAGAGCCAAGGGCGGGGGGATGCGCACACCCTGAGGCCATGAGGACGTGCAGACCTGTGCCCGGCGGGCTGGGGCGAGTGTCCGCCTGCGGGCTGAAGGTGGGGGGCTGAGCGGATCCCCTCGCAGGGTGCGTGGCGGTACTCCGGGCGCTGTGACCCCATCCCGGGATGGGCGTTCCCCACGGGGAGCGGCTGCGCTGCCCCAGTTCCCACGCAAACCTCTGCGTGGCTCTCCTGAAACCCCTTCCCACGGAAGCTGTTCTTAACGGCGGTGAAATTGCGATTTCACTAATAATGCAGCTACACTATGGTACTGACAGTAGCAAAAACCAAGCTCGATGAGGTGCGGCTGAGGGGGAAGCGCGCTGTGCCCGCCCGCCGGGGCTCCCTGGGCTGCCTGCCCTGCAGGGCGCTCCGGGCTGTGCGGGGCGGGCGCCCGGGGACCGGACCGGCGACGCTGTGGAGCGCCGTCGGGCCTGCGTGTACTGCGGGGCCAGCAGCGCACACCCGGTCACCCTGAGCGGCCCTGCGTATCCGGGGCACCGGGCCCCTCCCTCCCAAACCCCTCTGACTACAGGAATCTACACCCTCGGGTCCTCTGCCCCCTGGTCACACGGAGGGCTCGTCGTGGAGCATCGGCCGTCCCCTCAACATCACAGGATGACTAGTCCTCCCCCTACATCTACCGCTGACCACAGGAGGGGTTGCCCTTCCTGTCCCCCCCGCCTCAGTCCCCCTGAAACGGATGTGTTGGGGAGATGTGGGGGCTGGAGGCTGAGGCTGGTGTCAGGTGTGACCCAGGAGGGCAGATCTCCAGGAACAGGTTGCCATGGCAACAGGCTGCTCCGCTGAATTAAGACAGTGGCGGGTGGGCTGTCACGGCCATGCCGAGGCCCCCAGCTCCAGGTGCGGTGCCCTGTGGCCTCCTCACCAGATGGGCCTGCCCCAGCTCCAGCCCCGGCACGAGGCCGCCCCCTCCCCCCAGATGCACGCCTCAGCTACCGCCATAGCCCAGGACCCAGGGCACCCCAGCCTGAGGGGCCTCCCTTTCCCCACCAGCCTCCCTGTACCCCTCCCTGGGACACCTAGTGCAGCACCTGGGGCAGGCGGCGCCTCGCTTTCCTGCTGAGCAAAGAAACGTGTGTGAGGAGCCAGAAGCCAAGGGGCCTGGTGTCCCCTTCCTCCCCCTCCCCTCCCCCTCCCCTCCCCCTCCCCTCCCCCTCCCCTCCTCACCCCCACCCCTCCCCACCCCGCCCCACCCCCACCTCTCCCCCTTCCCTCCCCTCCCTTCTCTTCACTCTTCCCTTCCCCTCCCCCTCCCCCTCTGCCTCCCCACTTCCTTCTCGTCCTCCTCTCTCGGGTTTTCTTCTTCTTTGCCCCCCCCCGCCCCGCCCCACCCCTCCAACCCTCTCCCTTTTCACGCCTTCCCTGCCTCTGCTCCAGGGCTGCCACTGGTGACCATCTTGGGGGGTTTCAGCTAATGACGGACACAGGACAGTGAAGGAGAGGCTTCCAAACCCAGCGCAGGCCTGGGGAGCAGCCCCAGGAGGTCCCCACAGCGTCCCCGTTGGCCCCACAGTCAGTGGAGGTCTCTCCCCCTGCTCTGCGATTCGCTTCTGTTTTCCTTGTGGGGGAGGGGGGTACACAGAACAGCAGTCGCCTTTTCAAGAAGAACATAACTGATCCAAGTTGTACAGTATTTGTCAGTATTTTTTTTTCCTGGAAAATTCAAACATGTCAACCGAAAAACTTATTTAAATAAAATACTTTGAAAATGAAAGCCACGCCCAGCCTCCTTACTTGAAGTCACAGTCCCTTTCTTAACATTGGGTGTCACCTCCACGGATGCCGTCACTCCCTCCGGGAGGCACGGCCTGGCTGCCCCAGCACCACCCGTGCCCCCGCCCCCGCCCCCGCCGCCCGGCAGAGGCCCAGGCCAGGCGGGCAGGCGCGGGCCCCAGAGGCGGCCCCCCAGACACTCCCCCTGCGCCAGCAGCACCGAGAGGTGCTCCCTCCACTGCGGTCAGGCAGCCAGCAGCGTCTCAAAGGGAAAAGCGGGAAATGGCAAAAATAAAGTACAAAGAAAGACCAGGGCGTTAACTCTGGTCCAGGGGAGGGGAGAGATCAAACCCCCGACAGCAGCGGGGAGGCCCGGTAGGTGCGTGTGAAGTCCGAGCCTCCCAGTCGGCCACAGCTCCACGTTCGCTCCGAGGCACCATGGCGCAGAGGCTCCCGACCCCCGCTGCCTTGAGGATGCCCCACTGGTCCTCCGCAGAGGCCGTCCAGGACACGCCGGCCGACAGAGCCAGGGATGGCGGCACTGCTCCACACCCACACTGTCCGCTGTGGGCCAGGGGCCACACACGGCTCTTCAAATTAAAATGTAATGACATTCAAGGTCCAGGAGCTGAGTTATGCCAGCCACGTTTCAATCGCTCAATTGCCACACGCACTAGTGGCCACCATCCTGGAGACCAGGAGTCCTGACGCTCGCCGGGGCCGGGCGAGGGGCAGACACGCTGGCCACCAGCTAGGGCGGAGCAAGCAAGGCCTCTGTCTTCTCTCCCCCAGGCCAGGGGGCATCTCTGTCGTTCTGGTGGCTACCCAGGCCCCCTTCCCCAGCACCAGACACTCCCTGACAACCTGAGGGCCAAGGACAGAGACTCACAGATCGCTCCCAGCTCTCCCCCAGGACACGCGCACCTTTCAGAGCAGAGGAGGGCGCGCTGCCCAGGAACTATGCGGTGCGGGGCCATCGGCTCCACCTGCCCAGGCTTGGCCCTAACCTCGGGGTATGAATATGGATTTGGACAATGCCAAGAGCACCTCGACTCACCAGAGCGCTCTGCGCAGGCCCCTTGGCCTTTGACCCTAGTTATTGTTACCAAATTCCAAGTCACAGGATTCCAGGACTGAAACAGAGAGTCTTTCAACACAGCTCTGGGTCTCTGTCTTAGGCTCAGAGGGATGTTTTCGAGCACCTATGACACGTCACTCGGTGCGGGCGGGGGTATGCAAGCACGTGCTCAGCTCCCTCACGAGGCTGTTTATTCCATGAGCACTTATTTAAAAAAAAAATTTATTTATTTTTAGACAGGGGGAAGGGAGGGTGAATGAGAGGAAGAGAAACATCAATGTGTGGTTGCCCTCTCGCGTGCCCCCAACTGGGGACCTGGCCGGCAACCCAGGCATGTGCCCTGGCTGGGAATCGAACCAGCAACCCTTTGGTTCACAAGCCAGTGCTCAGTCCACTGAGCCACACCAGCCAGGGCCGTGAGCACTTCTGACCCTTTACCACGTGCAGGCACACCCGTGCCAGCAAAACAACGTCATCTGGGAGCTCACAGCCTGGCCGGGGAGACAGGCAAGCAAATTGAGCATTACAGTATGAGGCCGCTTCTGAACAGTCTGGGGACCTCGCTGCAGAGCAGCCCAGAGAGTCTAGAGGACACTGGGGAGGCAGGGCACTGTTCGCAGAGCCGGTCACCTGGCCAGGCCACCGCAGCAGCGATGTGGGGACAGCCTGACAAGGACCGCCGTCGGTGTGGGGACGAGGACTCGGGGCCAGGCTTGCAGCTCTAGCTCCCACTGGGTAGGTCTTTTAGGCCCATGACTCGAGTCTGCCACCGAGACACAGACTTTGCACACAACACCGTTAACGCAGGGCCTGGCTTGTAGTCAGTGCCCAGTACACGTGAGTTGTCATTATTATGGGTAGAAGGAAGGTCACGAGAGAGTTGCAGTCTCCAAGTCAAGGAAGAAGAAACTTTCAAGAAGAAAGCAAGAGGCCATAGTCATATGGTGCAGACAAGTCAAGAGACAGGTTGAAAATAATGCACATTTTCTATTCCCCTTGGTGTAGCACGTCCCCTAATTTCAGCACACGCTGCACTGTCGACAGCGTGACGAACAGTCCATGAATAAAGGCTCCCAATTTGTAGTGTGAGGTGGGCCAGGTTATCTACGCACCTATCCGGCCTCACCCCAGCCACCTGGGCCCACTACCAAGCCACCGTAAGGTGACAGTGCCCCCTGGTGGCCAGATAGGGCGAGCGTTTGCGTCAACATCTTTTCTCCTTACCATCAGCCACCAGCTGGATCACAGGTCACCAGACTCAAGACTCCCTGGGTTTTATGCGGTGCTCACGGACCAGTCTGGGCAGAGACCGCCGTGCTCACTGGACCGATGAGGGATTGTTACAATTCTTAGTCGCCGTTGGAAACATGTTTCCAGTGAAGTGCGCCCGATTTTTCGTTCCCGCCCTCAGGAAAGCGGCCCCAACGCCACGAGCCTCGCCCTTCACGGGAAAGTCAGACCAGGCGGTGACCACGGGTGTCCAGCGCTCCCAACCCACCACTCCCGTTCCCAAGGGCATCAGAATCAGCTTTTCTGTGGCCAGAAAGGCAACTGTCTTCCTCTCCCGTGTATCTCCAGTACCTGGCATGGAACCCAGTGCCTGCTACACGCTACACAGAACCCAGCTACACGCTAAGTAAGTTGATTAGGGGACAAGAGTCACTGGGTGACTCTAACAAGCGCGGACCCCAGGCCCTCTCTGCGCGTTTGCCGGATTTGCTACGCCTTGGGTGGGGCCAGGCACCTGCGCGCCGCACAGCACTCCAGGTAAATGCCAGGGGCCTCTGAGCCCCACCTGAGCAATATTACCTAGGTACTCAGAAAACAAGTTCTATGGTCTCATATGTTTGCAAAACACTGCATGCCCTTCCCCCCGCCCCGAGATCCACAATGCATGTACCACCACATTAGCTTCTAGCAGGTGCCATAAGAAACAGGTGCAACTGTTTAACTCAGAGCTTTGCCAAGCTTATTGGACCAGGAAACCGCTCCTTCTGGCGCAGCTGGAGGAGCGAGGGTTCCAGGGAACACCATTTAGGAAACGCAGCCCTGGCGGGTTCGCGCATCCCCCCCCATACCCCGCCCGGCCCCATCTTCCTCGGCCGCAGCTCAGTCCCTGCCGTCCCCAAGGAAGCCGGCTCTGGCATGCACACAGGACCTCCTGTGCCTTTACTAACCTCTGCTCCCCACTCTGCCCTCTCTCTTTCTCCCATGAGTGACCCATAATAATTCCACTGGTGGCCACTCGTGGCCCACAGACCTTAGAGCCGGCCAGAAATACACCTTAGTCAAGGGACAAAACGATCCCAAAGTCCGAAGGAAGTTATGGAGACCGGAGATCCAGGCCCGCGCACCGCCCCTCCCGTGGGTTGTCTGTTAGGGAAGAGCCGGGTTAGGGTCCCTTCTGATCTCTGCAGCCGCCCACGCGGCAGGTAAACCAGGGGTGGCTGTCATTCCGTTCATGAGTGAAGGAAATGAGGCCCAGAGCAGGTGAGGCGCTCCCCGGACCGGGACAGAACGGAACAGAGCCTCCGCGCGGCTCCCAGGGCGCGCCGCACGGGCCCACGTGCTGGGTCGGGCCGCCCCGGGGCCGAACGCGTTGGAGACGAGGGGCACTCCACTCCGGGGCCTGCAGGCGCCCCAGGGCTCCCGCAGGAGGCCCCTGGCCAGCCTCACCTGCCTCCTCAGCTCGCCCCAATCAGAGCGCCTCTTCTGCACTTACCAAACAACAAACTATTCCATCTCGTTTCCTCTTATTTAAATCTGAACCCTGTGAAGCCACCATTTCCTAGGTCCTTCTTCAGAGGCGCAGGGCAGCTTACCGCTGTGAGAGAATAACTGGGCCTCTGTGGGCCAACCTGGGAACCTAGCTGCTTCATGCAACGCTGGACTCGAAACCAGCCGTTTCTCCTGTCCTCCTAGAGAAGCCCGGCACCCAGAAGGGCATGGGGCGTGGATTTCTTTGCACGTTACGAACGGCCTAAACCCCTGGGAGGTGCCCTATCAGGTAGCCGGGGCGGGGATAGAGTCTAGGCTCAGCAGGCCGCCTCCTCGCCACACTCCCCAGTTACCTGTTCTGTGCATTCACCTGGCAGCAGCGCTGCCTGCTCAACCACCAGGCCTGGATGGGCGCCCCACTGGCGGCTCCCAAGGCCACACTTTCCAGGAAGGGAGAAAAGTGGGAGCTCCCAGAACTCACCTTTATGGGGCAGAGGAAGCGGCGGTGGCGCGGGGCGACACTGCCATCTCCTGGCCTGGCTGGGTACAGCGCGCCTCCTGCCGGGTCGGCGGGCCCAGACTCCAGCGAACCGCGCTCTTCAGGCACCGAAGCTCCTTCCTGATCCGCTCCACCGTCCTGGCGGACGTCCTAAGGGCAGGGCTTCCTGCAGCAAACGATGAGGTTCACCAAGAGCTCCTCGTCAAGAATGCTTGTGCTTCCGTCGGCCGCGCTGGACGCCACTTGCCTCTCGCCCTTCGCACAGGACACCTGGCCCCGGTCCCCAGTCACGCTCCCCTGAGTAGGTCTGGTCTCTCTCCCTGGCTCCCTCGGCACCTTCTGGCTTCCCTGCTCCCGCGGTCCCTGCGGGTCCTCAGTTCACAGGCAGAGCTCTTCCCGTCCCTGAGGGACAGAAACCCTCGGCTGCCACCCCAGCAAGGGCTCCGGGCAGAGTGGGCTCCAGGCTGCAAGGACAGGGAACCTCTCCCCACCGCCTCCACACACACACACACCCACCGCTTTCACCCGCAGGCCCCGCAAATCCTGCTGATTCTCCCTCCCAGATCCTTCTTTAATCCAAGCTTTTGCCCCTCCCCACTACTTCTGGCTCGGGCCAAGCAAGTCCTTGCCCCAGACCTACTGCACAGCCCTCAGTGAACTTCCGCCCGTCCCCCAAACCCCCCTCCTCCCGCCTCCCGGGAGCTGTGAAAAGCACGGGCGCACGGGCGCTCGGGCGCACGGGCGCAGCTGAGACCCGTTGCCGCGGAGGCTCCGGGGGTGAAACAGGGCCTGCACACACAGCGGCCCGGGCTGGCTCTGACGGGGAGCGGCGGCTGACAGCTGTCCCCACACCCCTGTCCTGAGGTGTCCCCAGGGCCGACCCCACCACACGGCGGGCAAGGGCTGCTTTGTAGTGCCTTGCGTGACTTTACTAAGTGCTCATGACACTCACGTCCTTGATTCTACCCTGGTGCCTCGTGGCAGCTTGTCCTTTCTATGAGAGCGGTTGTTTTCTTCGGTTTGTCCCCAGTGGCTTCTGACCTGATGCTGAGAAAAGTGTTTGACCCTCTGCAGAGAGGGGCCGATCCAGAGACCCGTTCCTGAGGCCTGTTTCAGCCACCCGGGCGGGAGCCGCCGAGCTGCTCTGGTTAAAGGACGCGAAGGGCTGGAATGCTCCCGTCAGACGAGCAGCCTCCGAGAAGGAGCTCCTCTCCCCGCACTGCCTCTCCGCCTCCCCTAGAACCCTGGATGGGTGGGCTGAGGTTTTCTTCACCCTGAGCCTTCTGGGCACCATGGGTCCTACAAGCAAAAGAACGCAAGGCACCACCAGTTCGCCTCAGTCCTCGTCTTGGCCGGTGGGGAACGAAGGCCGCGGTCAGAGGGCATGGGGGCGGGGAGCTGCTGCCATCAAGTCACCGATGTCTCCAGAGCTACTCAGGGAGGTCCCCACCCCAGCGGCAGCCGCAATCCAGACCTACAGAGTCAGAGCGCCTGGGGACGGGGCTCAGCCACCGCGCTTTCCTAAGCCAATTTAACAAGCGTGCCCACCATGCACAGCCCCCGCTCTGGGGCCTCCCTTGGTTTGACCCCCTTCTCAGTGGGGCCTCTCCTTTTCAACAAAGCCTGCACCCCCGGGGGCGAGTGCAAGGCTCCTGAGTCACCACGGTGTGGACCCTACGTGCAAGCGGCCGAGAGAACTCGGAACCGGGCAGCTGTACGGAGGGACCCTTGAGACTGCAGAACGAGCCCAGGTTCCGGACGACGGAGCTGCCTCGGACTCAGGGACGCTGGCAGGTCTCCGCGCGCGCCCGTCAGCGACGCCTGCGCAAGCCCCGCCCCCAGCACGCCCTCTGCCTCCAGCCCTTCACCCGCCCGGACCCTTCTCCCAGGGCACTTAGCGCTGCTTGGAACTGGGCATTTCTGCCTTGTTTGCTGCAGGCTCCACCAAGAGACAACGAGCCCCGGGGCAGGAGTACTACGTTTCGTTTACTGCTGCAGCACCGCTGCCCAGAGCAGAAGGCCGCACACACGGGGTGATCAGCATTAGCTGAACGAACGAGGCACAAAGGGTAGCACACGCTCCTGCAGTGCCCGGACCACGTCTGGCCTGCTCGCCCTGGGCCTGCCTCGGTCTCCCCGCGCCGAGCACACGGCCTGGGGAGAAGCGCGCAGGCGCAAATTCCTGCGGACCCAGCCGACGGCGCGCAGCACGCGCTCACCCATCAGCCCCAGCCCCGGACCTGGGCGTCGCTCACGCCGCCGCCCGCCCACCGCGGGAGATCGGGCAGGAACCGCGGCTGCTCAGTGCGTGTGTTGGGGGAGGGGGGAGGATAAAAATGTTAGAGGTTGATTTAAAAACAAGTTTCAAAAGAACAGCGTGTCACTCAGCCAGAGGTTAAAGCCGGGAGAAGCTGAGGCAATGAATGACACCCCGGTCCTGGAGGGACACTGCAGCTTTTAGGGGACATTTGTCCTCCTTCCCACTCAACTCCTGCTTCCAAATGCCTTTAGTTGCCATGATGCAAGTCAGAGACCATAGCCAACCATATTCCATCACAACGCACGGACTGTGCCTTCACTTGCAATTAGGTCAGATTTAGAATCCAAGGGCACTTAGGAGGGGAAAACAACACAAGGCCATTTTTTTTTAACCAAGTGGTTTAATACTATTTTCTTCTTGAATAGGAATTTGAGTTACTTCAATGGTCACTGACTTCCCTACAGAAAACCTTCCAAAGTGATAGGAAAACAAGCCAGAGGGTCTGACCTAGTGCCCATTCAACCCGTCAAACCGCGAGCCTCGGATGCTGCCCACTCGGAGAAACCCAGGGGACAGACCGCGTGGGGGCCGCGGAGGGCGGGAGGGCGGGAGGCTGGGTGGGGGGCGCCCGAGGGAGTCGCAGGGCAGAGTCTTCGGGAGGAACCAGTTAGCAAGACAGTCAAATTATTTAAAGTCGAAAGGAGTGAGAATTTATTCACAACATATGCAGATCTATGAAAGTGATTATGCAAATGGCCGGGAAGAGGACACAAAAATAGCAGGAACAGGGAAGCTTTGGTTTCCAGCACGTGGGCACTTGTCAGCGCTTTGCTAGATGGGGACGATTGACACTGTTCTCCCCAAAACCCAGGGGTCACCCCCAAAACCCAGGGGTCACAGGCTTCGGGCCACCTCAGAGAGGACACCTGTTTGGTGCTTCTTTCTAGAGAAGTTTGTAGTAGCAGAGCTTTAAATACATATATATATTATATATATACACACATACATAATATATATACCGATTTCCAGAGTTTTCCAATAGGTAAAGTACTAGATGCTATTTTTATTTGTTACTGAAGAGAGACGGGAAAACCTTGCAGTTCAAGCGCTGTCCTTCCCCCACACACTGTGCAACTACTATTGGGGTCTTTGGGCCCCCATACAGATGGGTTGGGACGCAGCAGAAGGGACGTGCCCTTGGCGACAGGCTCTGCCCTGCCGGCTACCCAGCCGTCTCAGGAACTGGAGGCTGCGGCCTTCCCTCCGGTCTCCAGTAACCAGTCCGCGTGCCCCACCCCGCCCCACGTTTACGCAGCCCCACCCCCGGGCCGGTCTTGCCTCCTGTGATGCTTGCACAAAGGGATCACCAGAACATTCTCGAATTTTCTCCCAGGGTCCGCTTCTTCCTGTCCAGGACGTGCCCCCCGCTATAGCCATGGGGGCGGATTTTCAGCTCCACATAAGGAATGGAGAATTCGTGTCCTTTCCACGGCTCCCAGTTCACCCCCTGCATTAAAAAAAAACAAAAAAAAAACAAAGGGCAACATCAAGAGGAGGCCCTTGGGCGGAGAGTCGGGTGGGGTGTGGTACGAAGGGAGGCTCCTTTGCCTAGGAAACCACGCCCTCACTGCTTAGGGGCGAGAGCCCAGGATGACTGGGGCAGTTACCGGAAGGGAAACGAGGGTCAAATCTAGAAACATGCGCCCTCTGCTGGGCAGCTGGGGTCAGACAGGCATGAAAACCGCCTTGCCCTGGAGATGGGGGCGGGAGGTTGGGGGAGGGGGGCCAGGAGGTGGATAAGGCCAAAGGAGCCGCAGGGGCTCAGAAACCAGAGGGTCAACCTGGCCAGCAATGATCACATTATCTCTGCTTTACTCTTTCCTTTCCGAAAATTTAAAGGCAAAAATAAACATATTAATTGGCCAATTGTGTGAAATCATTTTCAATTTAGACTATTTAGATATTAGCTCTGGGGTAACGAACAGCCTGCTAAAAACTAAATTCCATTTTATGTCTTTTGACTGGTGAGTGCAATATTTAATTCACTTAATAACCTTGCAACCTGGCCAATAAAGAGCCCAAGTGACCAATTTTATGTATTTTAATTTGTGAGGTAAATAATAAACAAGAAACTAAATGCCTTGCAGACTGTGAAAAGCACATTAACCAGATGAATGTCTTTTATTAGCAAATACGGGCCTGGTTTAGGGCGTGCTGGCTGCTCGTTCCGAACGTCTGGTCCCTGAGCTGGGCCCCGCGCTGCCCCCCGTGATTCACGGGCCCACCCTCCTCTGCTTCCCTGGGGCATGTTTTTCCTCCCTTTAAAAAATCGTGTCAGGATTAGGAGCCCCACTGCTGCCTGGGCAGGGGCAGGACCAAGGCAATCGAAGTGCGCCTGGACTTGAGGTGCGCCGAGGTTCACAGCGACGCTGGCGCAAGGGGGGTCCTGGGTGGCGGGGGGCTCCTGGAGGCCAGGGTCGGACCCGGGATGGGAAACCAGAAACCCTGGGTGGGCACTCGGAGCGTCCAGGGAGGGGAGGGGTGGGAGCAAAGAGGCAACTGTCAAGAGGCTGCGAGGAGGCGGCAGGAGATGCCCATAGCCCGTGAGGAGGGAGGATGGCGTTCCCACGTCCTAGAGGTTCGAGAGATTGCTGGCAGGAGAGTTTCAGAGCAAGGCGAGGGAGGAGACCCCGAGACCTCGGCCCTGTGACGCCTTCTGAAACAGGGAGACCGGCTCAGCACAGAGCTCCGGGCGACTCTGGCTGGTTTCAGAGGACCCGGATCCAAGGGTGGGTCTGGCCAGAGGCAACAAAGACTTTGTTTTCCTGGTGATCAAAGGGCTGGAGAAAAATAGCTCTGGTTTAACTGGGAGAACAAATGGAGATGATGAAAGGGGTGCTATGGACGGAATGTTTGTGTTCCCCACGCCTCCAAAATGCACATGTTGAAGCCCTGACTCCCAATGCGATGGCATTGAAGGGGCAAGGCCTTGGGGAGGCAGCTAGGGCTGGATGGGTTCAAGGGAGCGGGCTCCCCAGGAGGAGACTGGTGCCCTTGTAAGAAGAGGAAGCGACGCCAGAGCGCGACCTCCTACCCCCACCCCACCCCCCGGCCCAGGAAAGGAAAGAGGGTTCTTGCCAGGAAACGGACCTACCCACACCTTGATGTTGGACCTCGAGCCTCCAGAAGGCTGAGAAATAAATGCCTGCTGGGCAGGCCTTGCAGCGTGCCGCATTTCGTTACAGCGGCCGGAGCTAAGACAGCGTCCACGTGTGAACTGGTAAAGTGAGGTGGTGTGGGCCCGCGTCCCGCCTCCCTGTTCTGCAATGGCAGCCCGGCCCCACCCCCGGGCCTGGGGGAGCGCAGAGTGGGTGGGGGCTGCGGCGCGCGGGCGGGGCTGCGTGACCTCAAGGCCACGGAGCCTGGAAACGAGGCCGACTGCCCCGGCTGGGGCGCCGGCCGGAGAGGGGCAGACGAGCCAGCCGGAGGGCGTCACCCTGGGCACCGAAAGCAGGCAGAGCCCGTCACCCACCTCGCTGTGCTTGGTCTCCCCGTATCTGCCATTGGGGTTGGCCAAGTGGCAGTTCTTGTACCACCAGCCGCCATGATGCGTCAGGGCGCAGTTGCTGAGGGCGATGTCGTTGTCTCTGTCAAAGGTCGTAAACTTCCAGCCATTGTGGTAGGAAAGCGCGTCCCCTGCAGGAGGGAAGGCGCGAGGGGTGAGAGGCGGCGCCTCCCCACTGAGGGCTGAGAACCCGCCTGAGAACCGCCAGCGCCTAAAGGCCAGGGTCGGCCCGTGACGCCAAAGGAAGCCCTGCCCCTCAAAGCGGCCACAGGGCCAGGCCCTCTTTCCGGGCCTGCCACCCACACGCCAGGCCTGTTTCTCCAATGGCCTTAGTAGCATTCTCACTTAGAAGCTTCTCTGTCATGTGAACCATCCGCGTCCCCAGAAGCAGACCTATCGCCTCTGGTCGGGTCCCCGGCGAGAGACCTGTCGACTCTCGCCGGGGACCCGACCACCCTCTCCCGCCCTCCCTGTCTCTGCCCGAAGATCCTCCCAGCCGCCCGCCCGGATGGAAGCCCCGAGCCGTGTCTGACAGCCGCACTGCACCCCTTTATCAGGCTCTTCCTTCCGCAGCCCCCTCGCGCACCTCTCCCCCTACTGCCACCTAGGCCTGCTCCCGCCTCGCTGGACCTGCGTCCCCACAGCAGCCGTCCGGGCCCTCCTGAAGCCTAAGCATCCACCATCTCGGCCTCCCGCCCTATTTCCTGCCGCACGGGGCGGGGGTTGGGGGGTGGGGTGAGTTCCCCCTCTTTGCTTTGCAGGCCTGGGACTTGGCTGTCCCCTGTGCACCACTTCGCAGCCTGCTGTCTGCACGGACACCTCCCACCTGCACGGCGCAGGGGTCCAGCCTCCCTGCCTCTGCGCACGCACAGGCAGCTCTCTGCTCCCCGTTGGTCCAGGCCCTACCCCTCCCTCACAGCCCAGCTCAGCGCAACCCAAGGAGGAGTCCTCTCCTCGTCCTCCCTCGCGCCCTCCCAACAGCGCACACCTGGACTTCCAGAGCCCTCTGGGCACACAATACACTTTAGTGCTCCATTTTATGGCGTCTGGAAACCTGTAATTATTTTACTTGTCTTTCCCCTGTCTCCCCCATTGTGTTTGTCATCCTTTTTATACGTTTACTTTTTAATTCAGCTCGTAAAAGGCAGTAAGAGCCCATATCAATCCCAAGCTTAATTAAGTCCTGTTCTTACAGGAACGACACCTACACTTGTATCTGATCCCTGAGATTACCGGTCACCCTCACAGCGTGTTCTCATGGGGCCCCTCAGCGAGCCCTGGGGGCGGGGGGCGTGCACCTCCCAGTCCCCCGAGGAAACGGAGCCACAGAGGTTGGACCCGAGGGGCCTGTCAAGGAGCCTACACCCCACGTGGCCACGTTCCCTGTCACTGTCTCCTCACAGACTCTGAGGGAAGCTGTTTGGGTCTCACGGCTGCTCTTTACAACACAGCACATCCCCGAGGGTACACAGAAAGGCCGGACTGGCAATATCTTATTTTAAACTCAATTCCTGTGCCCTCGACCCAGGCTAAGGCCTGGGAAACAAGGGCAAATGCAAAATTCATGTGAATTTTTTTTTAAGTTAAATCCTAAAACCTGGAAGAAGTTTCTCATTAGCAGTTGGCCACTTCAGATCGCGGTGCCCGGGCCGTCTTCCGCCAACGGGGGCCGTTGAGACCATTCTGAGAGGCCTCAGGTCCCAATAACAAACCGCTATTTCCTTGCCTCCACTCCGTCCTGGACGCCCCCAGGCCTGGGGAGCCCCTCCCTTCCCTCCCACCTAAGTTCTACGTGGTCGGGCGCCTCCAGCCCACCGTCCTGCGGAAGCCCCTCATGCCCCCAGCGCCCCCACCTTGCCCACGCTCTTGGAGCTCTTCGGCCTCCTGACCGCTTATTAGATAGACTCTTTGCCGAAGTTACCTTCTGTTATCATTGACCTATTTCCATGGGAGTCTAAGGGGAGAGACCGTGTCTCGTACAGTTGGTCAGTCTGGCTGGTAGCACGTTCCTACCCAGTTACACCAAAGTCAAAACCGTGCAAAATCAGTGGACAGGTGTGAATGGCCCACGGACATGGGCATCAGGGTGGAGACTGACTGAGGGAGCGGGGAGGGGGGGTGGGCGGGGCAGGGGAGAGCAACAGAGGAAAATTGGGACAACTGTCATAGAACAACAATTTCTAAAAAGTGAAAAAACATACAAAATCAAACAACAGACCTACTTGCTGGGGTTTTAAAAACTACAGATATAGGCTTACCTATAATAGTAAAACAATAACCACCCTTCCCCGCTTAAATAAAATAGTCAGTGGTACACCCCAGTGTTCCCGTTCTTTTCCCTCAACAAGGAACCCAGGGAGCAGCAGCTCCTCGAGGTGAAGACCCCCGGTTGCAGCCGTGCTGCTCGTTTCTCTTCACCTGCACCTTCATTTCTCTGTCTCTATGGAAGGACCAGCACACACGCCGAGTGCACGGCGGAGCTCTGCGGAAGCCCAGCGAGAGGCGGGCGGGCGGCATGGGGCGCGTCACTCGGAATGCAGCTCCTCAGCCAGCGCGCAGCACCCTGAACCGGGGGCACCGTGCGGGGCGTCAGTGGACAATGTTCTGATTGCACGATGGTGCGGGGTTGCTTTACCGACGTTGTTTACCCCAGACCCCCTGCTGGGAGCCGGGCCTCAGCCATTCGTCAGTGAGGACCAGCCACCTTCACAGAAGGCACTGCATCCCCAGACCCGCGGCCCTCGGCAAACCCCGGCTCGGACAGGCGGGCACGGGCCGGCTGCCGGGAGCCACGCCCGTACCTGCGGTGCCTCGGTATTTGCCGACGGTGAGCTTGTACCGCTCCTTGCTGGAGGCCACCTGGAAGAGGTCGTACACGGCGTAGGCAGACTCGTTGGCTGTCTGCAAGTCCACCCTCACCTCGTACCGGGTCGGGGTACCAGTGGTGAGGTTGTGCAGCTTGTCGAGTCCTGGAAACAAAGACGTCCACTCACCAAACGTCACCTTAGCCTTTACCTCCTCTGCTCATGGGGGCCTCCCCCACTTTCTCTTTTGTGAGGGGCTCATTTTCTCCTCCAGTTACTTCTTTGGCACCATCGGGCTATTGAGTGTAGAAGCCACATGCTCTGGGAGGGCAGACGGGGGGCCACCAGGGGCAACCCCGCCCCTCAGCTCCATCTCCCAAAGGCCTCAGCCGTTTGTGGTCATTGTCCACTCATCCCGCCGAAGGGCAGAGGGGCCTACCACTCACTGTGCGGTCCCTGAAGGGATTCTGTACCAAGCCGACTCTGTCGGGCACCGAGTACCCCGATTACAAAGTTTTAATTCATTTCCCAGTGGACATCTTTGGCTACTTCCCTCTCCATGAAGCTCTGCTCGAGAACGGAGCAGAGGGAAGAGAGAACAGGCAGTGCCCGCAGGCTGCCCAGGGCGGCCAGCACGTCCTCCTGACGGCCGCCCGGGATCCCGCTCGGCCCACTGCTTTTCTGCTCCTACGGTTTCCCAGGCTCCAGGCTCCAGGCAAACCCTGCGGGTCTCGAACACAGCAGAAAGGCCCCCTGGGACAGTCCCACCCTTTCACCAGAGCATGTGGGAACCTCCCCGCACACTGGCCAGCAGGTTCCCCGGAGGGTCCCTGGCCATGGGACTCCTTCCTGAGTAGGGTGAGCATCCTCAAGCTGCCTGACCAGCTTTCTGAGGGGGAAAACCCCCTCCACCCCCCACGATCCCGGACTCTCCAAGGTCGTACCAAGCCAGAACTCCTTCCTGGGGTCCCCAAAGCCTTCCACGTAGGTCCGCCAGCGCTTGAAGAAGTCCAGCTGCCCGGTGTTCCGCCTCTGGAAGACCTGAAGAGGGAGAGACGGCCGTTTCCCTCTGATGCGTTGCACAGCCATGGCCAAGTCGGGGGTCGCCCCAAGGACAGACAGAAGGTGCTGCCAACAGGTGTGGCGGTGGACAGAGAGTGGAGCTGGGAGGGGCGGTCAAGAGCGGTTCAGCGGGTCTGCGGTTCCGGCTGCAGCGGCGCGGAGGCCGGGGCTCTGAGAGAGGACGGGCTTCACGATGCCCACATGCTCGCTGGGGACCCGTGAGTGAGGGTCACTTTTGAGGTGTCCTGGTGATGGAAGATGCCACAGGAGCTGCTGAGTGTAAGGCCCAGAGCTCAACAGAGCGATCTAGGCTGGACTCACAGAGGGGAGCGTGAGTCTGAGAGGATGCGAAGGGGCCCGCCAAGCCCCCTGCGCTTCCCTGGGTCTGGGGCGGCCTCCGTGTGCTTGGGCACCGGGGCGGGGCGGGGAGACGAAAGGATGGGACGGCAGCCCCCCAGGCGGCTCCTCAGCCACTGGATCCGGCTGCTGCAGCCACAACCTGTCCCGTGGTTTCAGCCGACAACCGCCCCCGGGAGAATCAACCCTGCCCACAGGGCGGGAATGACCAGGACCTCGCCACGTGTCCCTCTCTGAGGCCTCTAATCCAAGCCCCACAGGCCTTGTTTCTGTTCCGAGGAGCCAGGAAGAGGAAGCTGGACGGCAGGCTCCAAGTCGGAGGACGGAGCCCCCAGAGGATGTGGCACATGTCTCGCTTGGGCGGCCTGACCTGACCCAGCAGGAAGACGCGTGACCCGGGGGAGGCTGGAGCCCTGAGGCCTGCTCCCGGCCCGCCACGCCTCGTGGGGCAGAGCCGCGGCACAGCCCCCCTTGCCCATCTGGGCGATGGCACCGTCATCCCGCGCGCCCCCTCTACAGCTTTCGTGCAGGGCTGTGTTCTCCGGGAGGGCCCTACTAGGCGAGGCCGTGCGAGGAGAGCGGGGAGAGCAGATGACGCGCACACAGGCACAGAGGGCGTCGTGAGGTGGGGACAGGCCCGCAAGCCTCGCTGCCACCGGCCTGAGCCTGCCCGGGCCTGCTCTGCCCCAGGCGTGAAGGGCTTCGGGCCCGACGTGCACTGGGGGCCCCTGGGCTCCCTTCTCCTGGGGACAGAGGGGAACTAGAGCCGCCCGGGCTCCAGGGACTCACGATCCAGCCGCCGCCGTCCGTGGCCATGTCGCAGTACACCTGCAGCGGCCAGCCGGGGTCGCCGTGCAGGAAGATGGTGTGCAGGCCGCTGGCGGCAGCGCCGTTCTGTTGGACTTGACTGCAGTCCGCGGGGTGTGGGAAACGGGCACCGACTAGGGGCCGAGCAGAGGGCGGCGTCGTTAAGAGAATGGCGCGGGGCTAGTCCCCTATTTTAAGTTAATTAATCTTGTTAGGAATGATTCGTAACCTCCTCCTGCTCGGCCCCTTCTGGCTCTTCACTCACGTCTTATTCTACTCACTCTGCTCTCATCAACCTGCCCAAACGCGCTAGAGATAAGGTCAAGTCCACCTCACTCCCTCCCCCAACCCGACTGCCCCACGAAAAAAGGCCCCCTCTCGCTCCCCTCTTTGGTCTCTCTACCAGGGGAAGTATTTCTGCTGAGTCCACATCCCACTCCCATTTCCCCATCCCAGAGAAACCCCCAGCTCGGCAGCCACCCGCTCCTGCGCGGACACCGGCCCCGGCCTCTCGGAGGTTCCTCCCCTGTGACATCCTCATTCCGGGTACAGGGGTCCACAGTACCTGTGGACAAGGCGGTGGACACTCCCCTGCTCCGGCGATCACCCTTAAAGGCAACCAGGGAGATAGAATAGGCGGCGCCCTGCTCAAGGTCTTGCAGCTCAAACCTCTGATCCCCTTGTCCGAGCCGCACCTCCTACCAAATAAACAAGACCGGAGGCAGCCGGTCAGTTTGTCACGCCCAGCACCGGGCACCAGGAACATCCCCGGGGCGCCAACGCCAGAAGCTCTGGGGACAGCGCGGTACCTGCCTCCGAGGGCTCAGAGGCAGCCCCGGGGCCAGTGTGCCCCAGCCGCCTCTCCGACTTCAGCACCGCCAAGGGCACGGGCCGGGGGCCAGCAGGAGGCAGCAGCCCCAGGGGCGCCCGCCAGGTCTCCCGACCTCTGCCCCCCAGGTCCGAGCCGCAGCCCGCCACGCCCGGCTGGGGAGTGGGGGGGGCCGTGAAACCAGCCCCGCGGTCTGGAGGGGCGGCTGGTTTTTCAGCAGCCTCCCTCCCGAACCTGCTTTCCTCCTCTGACAGGCAGAGCTGGCTGTCCCAGGCGAATGACTAAATCAATGCGCCTTTTGTTTTTCCCCTCCTTCCTTCTTTCTTTCTGGCCAAGGAGAAAAGATAATAATTTTCCATTGGGACTAATTTTGAAAACTTACTGGCCTTCAGATTCCAGGTGGGAGGTGTCATCTTTGAAATAACAGTTAATCAATTCATTCAATAAATCTTTATCGAGCGCCTACGTGGTAGGCCGTCAACAAAAAGAGACAAAAAGCCCCTGTCCTTGCAGAGCTAAGATTTATGGGGGAAGAGAAACAAATAACGTGGGCTGACATGCAGCTGGCAAACACGCAACGGGCAGCTGGAAGCGGGCACAGGTTAGCCCTGAAGACGAGAGCCACGACCGACCAACCGTGTTTGGCACTGTCCCTTGCACACAGCAGGTGACCAGTGAGGATCAGCTCCATCATCGGCAGGTTGTCACGGGGCTGGCAATCAAGTCGGCTGACCCGAGTCAGTTGCTTTATATGGGGCCGGGCGAGGACGCCCAGGGAAGAGACAGGAGGGTCCAGTACCTTGTCAGTGCCGTCCGGGAGCCGGTAGGTCAGAATGTAGCCATCGATCTGAGCAGAGGGGGGCGTCCAGGTCAGTACTCCCCCAGACTGTGTCACACCAGACGGTCGCAAGTTTCTGGGAGGGTCGATGTCTGTACATCAAAAGTCAGGCGATTATTATGCTAAGGTAATGAAGGCAAGGTGATTTTTGAAGGGTTAACTTACATTTTCTGCCTACACACCCTCCCAGCGCTCTCCTTCCCTTTGGCCAGTGGCAGCTCTGTTCTTCCTCGCCACCGGCCCTTTCTGACCTTTGCCTCCACAAGCACAGATCCACTGAGGACAAGGATGAAGGAACAGGTGCCTGGGTGGCGTTCACTCCACACAGAGTCACCCTGGGCTCCCCCCGCCCAGCAGGCCCCCAGAGGGTGGTGGGAGGAGCAAGCTAGACTAGGGCAGGCTCGAGACGAGACGGCAGGGCTTCCACAGTGGCGTGGGAGCCACCGGAGAGCGCAGATCCGGGCAGCCCGGCACGTGGAGGCCAGGGCGGCTCGGCAAACAGCTGCCAGGAGAGACAGCCCAAGTGCCAGACGCGCCCCCAGGCTTGATATTTGGGAACCACCCAAGGCTTTCCATCCAACCCGGGGGAAGGAGCGTGACCCTAAATTTACTGAGATTTGTGTCCAACATGCAGAGTGGGGCTTATGATGGACATTATGTTGGTATTGAAATATGAGGTTCCATTTCTTATGTATCTAAATGTGTGGCCTTGGATGCATGCTCTGTGCTGAGGGAAACAGGGGCGGGGGGTGGTGTTTGTATAAAGAGGGAGGAGGAAGGAGGGATGGGAACAGAGGGGAGGGGAGGGGAGGGAAGGGGAGGGGAGGGAAAGCAGAGGCAGAGACAAGCAGAGCCGTCCTCTAGCCCTGTGCACTTTCCCGTGCAAACTGCACTGGGGACTTGGGGGCGGCGGGGGGGCCGGGGGCGCGGGGATGCAGGGACAGTGGACTGGAAAAACTAAAGCTCAGCAAAACTCATAGTCAACACCAGAGTGACTGGTCAGAAGACTTTTTTTTCCCAACCCAATAAGATAGGAATGGAAATTTCCATTTTGAAAAGTTATTACAGAATATGATTTTAATATCAAAGTTCCCAAAAAAGGTGTCTCCAGGCTATTTTATACCCAGTGGTTTTTCAGCTGAGAACTGAATTGCGGTATTTGAATAGAAATCAGGCAGCTGCTGTTTTGAGTTAGGATGTTTTGACAAATTTTGAGTTTCTGTGATGTCAGCTTGGTTTGACTTTCTACAGCGGAACATCTGGTATGGATTTTAGTGTATCTGTCACATGGAAAAACTGAACTTCCCTCTTGCAGAATCAAAGCAAACTCTGAAAGATTTAAGTATCTCACGCTGGCTTCTGCCACCTCTGTGACTGCCCGCCTGTCCTGGGTTAGCGACAGGAGAGGCCTGCCTCACTTCCACATTTCTGTGGAGTAGAAAATGATAATACTGCTGTCTTTAAAAGTGGGAAGAGTGAAGCAAAAGAGGAAAAAGAAGGAAGGGAGGAAGGGAGGAACAGGGGAGGAAGGGAGACAGAGGTGAGGAGGAAGGAGAAAACGGGGGGGGGGGCGGTGTGGGGGGGGAAGGAGGGAGAAGCTGCTGGCTGCCTCTGCGGAGCAGCACTGTCCTTACGGAGCCTGGGGCGGGGAAAAGAGATTTGCTTTCTACATACCTGTGTTTGAAAATTTCTTCATAAGCATGTATCACTTTTTTGGTGAAAAACTATTGTAACTAATAAAAATAATTAAAAATTTCAAGTCTCCTCTAACTCCAGTGGTCCACGTGCTGCCCTCGGGCACAGCGGGGGCGGCCAGGTCTCCCCGGCTGGCTAAGGAGGCCCGCGGGCCTCAGGGCACCGGGCTATTCCCAGGTGCTTCCCAGGCGCCCCTGGGGCCTGGCGCGGCGACGTCCCGAGACCGGAGGCCCCGCCATGCATGCCCAGCCCGGTCCACAGGCCCCTTGCCCCCGATCCGGAGACGGGCCGTCGGGGAGGGGGCGCTGTGCTGCGGCCCCGGCCTGGCAGAGGGAAACGCCGGGGCTCCTGGCCCCTGTCGCCGGCCTGGGGCTGAGGCCAGGCCACGCTCTTGTGTCCAGGGCAGGGCGCGGTCAGGGAGGCTGCCTTTTGCACAGCCTTCTGGAACCGGCACACAGCCTTACCTGACACCACTTCCTCTACACGCTTTCACGCGAGTATGAGAGGTTATGTCAACACATGACCTCATGGGTAAGAGGAGGGAACCCCTCTGAAGAACATCCTCAGGTGAAACAACAGCCTCCCCCGGGCCCCTCCCCGCCCCGGCACGTGTGAAGCGTCCCCTGTCCGGTCCTGCGCAGTACCTGTCTCGGCGGAGGTGCCGGCCTTGCGGCCCTCGCGGGCCCCCCGCTGGGCCCACACCTGCACCGTGTACTCCACGCCCGGCCGCAGGCCCGTCAGCTCCGTGCCGCTCTGCTCCTTCCCCACCGGCACCTCCCCGGCGTCTCCGTCAGCAGACGTGTAGCGCACCAGGTACCTGTCGATGGCCGCCCGCACCGGGTCCCAGGAGATGGTGGCCGTGGTCTCCGTCACCCGGTCGGTCACCAGGTTTTGGGGACTGTCAATTTCTTTAAGAAAATGTTTAGAGAAGTTTAAGCTCTGAAGCCACGGAAGAGACAGCCACCAGCCCACCATCACGACTTCATCTTCAGAGCACTCAGCGCAGGCCTGTGACGGTCCCATCCTGAGTCTCCCCCCGAGTGGAAGTGGAGGGAAAAGCCACCCCCAGGTCCCAGGTCCAAAGGGCTACTCATTGTGAACTTGACATACTCTCTTGGCTTCCAGCTGCTGACAATGTGGGAGGAACGCTGTCTTCTTAGCCACGTCATGGCCCATCGACACAGTCAGTCATGCACCTGCCATGACGCCCAGGGCACCTCGCTTACCACCTTCCCACGGACCACTTCACGGGCCATCATGCTAAACGCGTTATCACCAGCGCAGCAGCGGCCACAGCCTCAACATCTCCGCTGAGTCTGCTACACATGTGGCTGAGGCACCCATCGCGTCTCCCTTCCAGGGGGCCGAGGGCGTCATGGGCAGCCCCGCGCTGCCGGACAGGGCAGCTCGTGGAGATAACCACTGGGCCCGCTGTCCTCTTCGACCGCCAAGCCTTGCTTTGCAAAGTCCCTTCGCTCAGGCCACACCGGTTGGTACCGCGCACACTCAAACACACACGCTCAACATTCCATTTCAATCGCCCGCCTTTGTCCTGTTACCTGTCTCGGCGGAGGTGCCGGCCTTGCGGCCCTCGCGGGCCCCCCGCTGGGCCCACACCTGCACCGTGTACTCCACGCCCGGCCGCAGGCCCGTCAGCTCCGTGCCGCTCTGCTCCTTCCCCACCGGCACCTCCCCGGCGTCTCCGTCAGCAGACGTGTAGCGCACCAGGTACCTGTCGATGGCCGCCCGCACCGGGTCCCAGGAGATGGTGGCCGTGGTCTCCGTTACCCGGTCGGTCACCAGGTTTTGGGGACTGTCAATTTCTTTAAAAGAAATGAAAGAGTGTAGCATTTATCAACTCTCTAGTTCATGAAAGGCCAGGATACACATCACCAAAAGAATGACCTCAATGAACTCCACAGTCTGCGTGTTATGCTAATGATTGAAATGACGTAAGGGTTTAATTAAAGAAGTGGTCAGAGACTCCGAGAAGGAGCTAACTGCATTTCCTGAAAAGAAGGCTTCGTACAAAGCCACCGTAAAGTCTCAGCTTTGTAAACTTTTCCCACAAGCTGCCTTTGGATAAAAAGAATCGGTCTTCGTACACAGATTTCTGCTTTCCTCTGGATTTACAGGGAGCACCCGTGCAGCTTCCAAGTCCTTGTACCTACCCGCTGAAAGCAGTTATACTGCAATAAATCTCTGCGTTTGCTCTAGAAGAAAATTATCCTGGAAAGAGAAGCTGCCAGTTCTTCCCCTTTAAAACATGACGTCTGCGGCCCGAAACCCGAGGGACTTTTTAACTGACGGGGTTTGAGGTCCGGGCTGCTGAGCACAATCCTGCTGGTAGCACCGGCCAGGTGTCCGTGCGACCGTCCTGGGACCGGGCGCCGCCGCTGCGCAGCGCTGGCTCTGCACAGCCTGCGCGACCGGAGCCCCGGGCTCCTGGTCTCTGCGGAGAGGGCACGACCGCACCTCCCTCATAGGTCACGGCAAATGGCGGACGAGACATCGCACAGCAAGTGCTCAAAAATGAGCTCTTTGTTGCTGCACAGCCCGCTGGAGGTATGAAATACCACTTTCCTCAAAACGTACACCCTTGGAGGTCAAAAACGCAGGATGCTGGGTGCCGGGTGGGCACGTCTTTGTTCTGCTGCACCACAAACCTCCTCCTCCTGCACCGGCTGAGCTTCCTGTGACAGCGACTGCATTCCAACCTGCCCACCGCACCTGCCGCGCCAGCCGGGCCCGCTGGGCGCAGTGCCCGCCACGGGGCTCCCAGCCACCGGCCCCCCGCCCCGCCCCCGGGCCCCCGGGCCTGCCCACCATGCACCGCGTGGGAGCACATCATTCAACTCTCTGCTCATTGGCTATGACGGAAGACCAGCCTCTCCTAGTCCCACACCACGAGCCTTGGACAGCTGACCTTTGAACAGCGTGTGCTGGGACTGTGCGCGGTCACTTGTACGTGGGTTTTTTTTTTCAATATTGTAAATGTATTCTCTCTTCCTTATACTTTCTTTAACATTTTCTTTTCTCTAGGTTACTTTACTGTAAGAATATAGTATGTAATACAACATACAAAATAGGTGTTAATAGGCTGTTTGCGTTAGTGGTAAGTCTTCCAGCTGACAGCAGGCTGTTAGTAGCAAAGTCTGGTGGAGTCAGAAGTTGCGCGTGGACTTTACACTGCGTGGAGACCAGTGCCCCTGACCCCCGCCCTGGTCAAGCCCCCGCTGCTAATCCCGCCGTCCTCCGGCTCTGCTCAGGCGCCGCCCCTCTTCAGAGAGCCCCCCATGACTCCCTGTCCCGCCCCGGGCTGCTGTCGGTACCACAGGTTCAGGGGTATTAGTTTTGTGTAAAACATAACTCACTGCATTTTATCTTTTTCTCTTGCCTTCTGTACCCAGACGGTTGTGGGCACCACACAGGTGCGAGCTGTGCCGTTTATCTCTGTGCCCCCCGAGCCGGGCCCCGTGCCCAAGGCCCCTGCCAACACGACACCCCAACGGCTCTCCGCCAGCTGGGCGCTTACTCACACCCCGGGCCCGAGAGAGGAGCCTCTTCTCTGCTGCAGCTCCCCTGCCTCGGGAAGGCTGACCCACAGGCTCTTTGCCCTCATCACGCTCAGAATCGCGGGAAATGGGAAGCTGTGAGTGACAGAAACCGGGAGCTGGTGACCTAGAGCCCGCAAGCCAAGTCTGACCCCCTGCCTGTTCTTAGAAATAAGGGTTATTGGAACACATTCATGGCAGCTCATTTACAGATTGCCTACGGCTGTTTCCTCATTCCAGTGGCAGAACCGAGCAGCTGCAGCAGAGACTCTGCGGCCCTCAAAGGGGACACCGTTCGCTCTCCTCTCCAGCCCCGCATGGAAGGCTGACCCTGAGGGAAACAAAGCTAGATCTCCCCGTCCTCGCAGCCAAGCTCTTCTCCGTCCCCTGAGGGAGCCAGGCCCACCTGGGCCCAGACACCTGCGCAGCCCGAAATACTTCGATTGGCCAAATGCTGATTGACATTCGCTATGAATGTTTACGCACCCCCCTCAATTCATATGTTGACGCCCCCGCCCCCAATTTGACGGTATCTGGGGCGGGGCTGCTGGGAGGCGAAGAGGTTTAAGTGGGCGTGTGAGGGCGGGTCCCGGGACGGCTTTAGTGCCTAGACAGGAGGAAGAGGCCAGAGCATCCTCTCCCCAACGGGGTACAGGAAGGAGGCGGCCACCTGTCAGCCTCACCAGCAACTGAGTCAGCGGGCCCTCAGCGCGCGGGACCACCCGCCTCCAGAGCTGTGAGAAGTGCCTTTCTGCTGGGGAAGCCCCCGTCCGCGGAATTTCGTTACAGCAGCCTGGGCTACGGGCAGACGGACATACCCTCGGAAAGGACACAGCCATCACAGTGCAGCGCTCGCAATGCATCGGGCGCTCACAGGCACCAGGGAACAGGACCCTCAGCAGAACCCCACGGTGCAGACACCCAAATGCCCGTTTCACAGAGAAGAACCCGAGGAACAGAGGGGAAGACGCTCGCCCCAAGCTCTCAGCTATAATACAGCCTGGACCCGCAAGCTTCCGAACCTCTGTTCCAAACTAACCATCCGCTCCTCCGGGGGCTTCTCTGCCACGTGGCTGTCAAACAGAGCCCGGCCCACCAGCGAGTCTTGTTCTGATTCCTGTCGAGTGTGGGGGACCTCCAGCGCCCTCCAGGGCCAGGGCCAGGGCCGGGGAGGTGAACGCAGGGGGTTGTCCTGGGTCTGCCCCGTGCAGCCTCCGGTCGCCCAGTGGAGTGGAGCGACAGGGGCGTATGGTGGCCCTTGCGAAGCTTCGAGGCAGAGCCCGCCCCTTTGGTGAGTGTCGACTGTGGACGCAAACCATCTCCGCGGCCCGAGAGCGAGCTCCAGGTCACCCCCGCGCGCTGCGCAGGCGCCGCAGGCCGCGAGGTAAGCGTGCACAGTCCCTGCCGGCCCAGCGTTTCAGGTGTCCACGTCCAAAAAATAAAAATTAGAAAGTGCTACGCTGCTCTGAGGGAGCCCCGCAGGGCATTCCAACACAGATAAGGGTGACCTTCTGTGTCTAATAAAAAGGCCGGTTGAGGTTTAAAAAGGAAAAAAATTCATAGTTAGGAAATTTGAAATTGCTCTGCTCCCCCCCCCCCGCCCCGGCCTTACATGGGAGGTGCTGCGGCCAGGCAGGCACGGCCCCCGGTTCCTCCCCGCCACACGCCGCCCTCACCTGTCAGGGCCATGGCGTCGGCCTTCCCGCTGGCCCGGCCGCCCCGCTCGGCCCACACGAGCACGCGGTAGGCCTCCCCCGGCCTCAGGCCCGTCAGCACGGTGCTGCTCTGCTCCCTGTGCACCGCCGTCTCCCGCGTCTCCCCGTCGGCCGAGGCGTAGCGCACCACGTACTTATCGATGGCAGCCTGGACGGGGTCCCAGGACACCACCGCCGAGTCTTCTGTCACTTGATCCGTGACCACGTTGGACGGGCTATCAATGTCTTCATAAAAACACATGAGAAAGGAAAATTAGAGAAGCCATTTGGCCGGTTGCTTCAAGATCTAGTTCATCCGGGTGACCTCATACCACAGTTTACACGACACAAGAGGGTGTGGCCAGCATTTGAGACAGGCAGACACCTGGCCTCTGCTCGACCCCTACGCGGAGAGGGGGCTTCATGAGGGACGAAACGAGCCCTTCAATAATGATAATCAATTGTAAATAAAATAAATATGTGACCTGAAAGGCTTCTGCAATCTGAATCAGCGGTCCTAGTAGGTTGGAACTTGGAGCGACAACGAGAGAGAGGGAGCAGTCCTAGGCTGTCACTCCTGGGCAGCCCTACGGGACACTCGGGGGCACTCGCGCGCAGCCAGCGGGAGGAGTCCCTCCCCTCCCCGTTGCTGCTTTCGGTGCCGAGCACGAATTTCCCAAAGTGAGTATAGGACTGTCTGGGCACAGCAGGGCAGTGCCCTCCACTTTGTGACAAGACTCAGCACAGGCGGCCCGGTGAGGCGGTCCTTGGCCTGCGCGGGAGCCCCCACCGGCACGCGGCCACACTCCAGCCACGGCCCAGGCGCCAGGGGCAGCCGGCCCCATTCACAAGGGCGCCTGTGCACCCCCAGCGGGCGCAGTGGAAAGAGGCACCGCCAGGGTGTTTAATCGACAGGGACGGGGCGTGGGGACAGAGGCAGGGACGGGGCCTGTGCCACGGCTAGAAGGCGAAGTCACGGAGGGCGGGCCCTTGGATGACAGTATCTACGTTTCACGCGTTCACTTTCTCGGGCCTTCTCCACTGGTTTCCACGGCAGCAGTAAAATGATTGAAAAGGCGCCGTTTGTGGAGAACGCGCGCGGAGAGGTCGAGCCTCTTCCTGCAGTCGGCCCCCCGCGACCCTAACTTCCAATGCCGCTCCCTGGCTCACTGAACCCCCCGCACGTCGTCGGCTTCCATCCTCAGCTATGGAAGCGGCAATAGCGGCGTTTGCGATGCTGCCGCAGGGACCGAGGACTGTGTGCAAGAAGCCTCGCGGCACCCAGAGCGCAGGGGGTCTCGACAGCAGGGGACATGGCGATTTTCAGCCGCCGGGGCTGCCCGCGGCTCACCCCGCAACTGATGTGCGTGGGAGTCTGCGAGGAAAGGGTTAGGGCGGGGCCGCTTCCTGCAGAACCCGGTCTTTGGAAAGTGATACAAAGCAAGATTGATTTTCTAAAGCTCCTCTTCCACAGCTGGTCTAAGGGGGAAAATTCCGGGAACATCGTCAGCAAGTGGGTGCGCAGGCCGGGTGCTGTTTGGAGCCCAGGAGCCAGGCAATCAGAGCCCAGAGACCCCACAGCCCTTTCCCCTACATGCAGCACGGACAGGCGCAGGCCGCCGCAGCGTTTCCCAGACTCGTGACCACAGAAAAGAGGGAGACGGAAGAAACTGGAACCTCATTTTGTCAACCTTTCCTTTTACAGGTAGAGAAATTGAGGATGAGGGGATCCCTGCTGCTTCATTAGTGGCCTGTCCCTTGTTGTCATCTGATGGGAGGCAGCCGCGAGGGCCTGACGGAGAGGAGGCCAGCCGTGCTGGCCGCTTGGAGGCGGCCGCTTCGGGAGCCCTGCCTTCCTGGAGGCCCTCCGAGGCACTTGGGGCACGAACAGGGCGAGGGTGTTCAATCGGCTGCCTCCTTGTGTGGGGTTAGTTCCGCCGAGCGGCTTTTTACACGGGAAATGCCTGGCGCGTGCCCTCTCCTCCCTGCGCATGCCTCTGCTGCTCTTACATGCCCATGACTTTGTCTGTCTCGTGGAATGCAAAATACTCGGAGGAAGGAGAGATCCTTTTTTCCCTTATTATTATTTTTTTATCCTCACTCGAGGACATTTTTTCATTGCTTTGAGAGAGAGAGAGAGAGGCAGGGCGAGAGGAAGCGAGAGAGAGAGGAACATCGATGTGAGAGAAACCTTGCTTGGTTTACCCTTATTCTCACCGTTCAACCAGCTACTGCCAGGACTGAAAGGAAAAAAAACTAGAAAACTTTTCCAGGAAGTCCGAAACTCAAAGATCCCTGCTCTGGGGACTGTCAGGTTCTACCCAGGGACATTGTGCCCTAGATCACGTTCCCAACTGGGGTTAGGAGAACAGGGGTAGTGTGGGAGGCTCACAACTCAACATGGGAACAAGCATCGTCTAAAAATTGATGTTACACAGGATAGCTAGCATGTACAGCTATAATGACCTCCAATTCTTTTCTGATTAATAAATTATAGATTCATTGTCAGGTGTTACTGATTTATCACACTTGTCATTATATGTCTTCTCAGCCCACCGACGGTGAATATGCCGCCACCCCACGTGAGGCTCCTCAACACCTTTTGACGTTTAAAGCGGACTGCCGGGGTATGGCGTCGGGAAAACGCACAGGGCAGCAGGGAGAAAGGACAGATCGTAGCTAAGATGCCAGGGTCCACGGCAATGATTGCCTTAAAAATAACCCAGTGATTGAAGCTATTAAAAGTAAGCAGAAAGGTGTCAGAAATGGCCTTTTCTCTTGACTCAAAGATCCTGGGGGAGATTCTTAATGGCAAAAAACACTGCAATAAGAGATATTTGTTTCCTGTCCCCTGCCCCCCAAAACAGGCTTCAGTTCACAAAGACAGATCTCTCTGCACCCGAATCCCAGAGCTGTACCCAGGGAGGAGTCGCCAGGAAAAACAGCAGAAGGCGAACCTGAGGAAAGCCCTGGGACTCTAGGCAGCTCCTACCCGTGGTGCCGGTCAGGAGAACCCGCTTGCCCTCCAGGTCTCCTCTCACAGGGACAACGGTGATCCTGTAGTCGGTCCCGGGCTGCAGACCTGGGAACAAGCAGCCAGCGTCGGACGTGAGTGCAGCCTCTGGACCCTTGGCCCCCGGCACGGCGCCCCCCTAGGATTTCTTGTTGGGGGCGGGGAGAGGGACCATGCCTCTCGCCTAAAGACAGTCCACCTGGGTAGGCGAAGCGCTGCAGGCCCCCAGACCCCCAGCACAGAGCGCGGAGGAGGGGCTCATTCTCTGGTGGGGTGGGGGGTGGGGGCAGAACGGATGAGATGAAGCCGAGGGAGCTCCCTTCCTCTGTGGGGCCACCGAGCCCTGGATTCCCAATGTTACTACATCCCCACGGTTTCCTGCCCCCCACTAGCTTTTCCCCTCAAAAGTTTCTTTCTTTCTCATTATATGAGTTAACCTAAATTTTTCCCTTTTTTTTTTTTTTTTTTTTGCCTGCCTTTCGTTGCGGTGCTTTCTCTGAAGTATCAGCGTGAACAATTGCTGGCAACGTGCAGGCGGCCCACAGCAGAGCGAGTGAGTGGACGCTGCCTTCCGCCCCACAGGCAGTGGGGCCCCTCGGGGCAGCCGAGGCCTCGGGCCCGCCCCCTCACGGGCCCCCTCCAGGGCCACGCGCCGAATGTGTGGTCGCCTTATTGCTTTTCTTAAAGAGGGCCCTGGAGGTTGTCTGAGCCTCAGGTGCCCCGTCTGGGACGCGCCACCTGTGACCCAGAGGCGCCCTGAGAGTCCAGAGTCGCTCTGGGGGGCTGGGCAGAGCCCTCGGGCCTCTAGAGTGGGTGCACGTCTGGGAGTTTCGGGGGCCCGGGTTCCAGCGATTGCTAAGGCCCCAGGACCCCCGTGCACACTGACTCCTGGCACACGCTGTGCCCGGCCCACCATCCACGTCCCCGTGGCTCTTACCGGTGATGTCGTATCTGCTCTTGGGGTTGCTGCTCTTGGGCACGGTGACCTCGGCCACCTCCTGCCCCGTCAGGGGGCCGTACAGCAGCTTGTAATGGTCCACCTCGGTTGGGGGGTTCTCCCACTCCACCTCCAGGGAGCTCTCCGTCTGGTCTGTCACCCAAGCAGTGCCCAGCGCAGCGAGATCTGGGGCAGGGGCCAGTACGACAAAGGAGGCCGTGAAGAGCCGTGGCCGGCGGGTCAGGTCCCTTTCGTGACGCACCGAGAGCAGGCTTCAGCCCCAGGACACAGTTCCTAACAGGTGCCATGGACCACCTGGCAGCTGTTGGTTTGCGCATGGTCCACAGAGGACAGACTCTGTCCGGGGAAAGCCTTCTCTGCCCACCCCGCCCCGACGGACCCACGCAGCACCCCCCCTCCCGGGCGCTCGGCCCAGGGCTCAGGCTGCTCTGGACTGAACCCTTGTCCTTCAGGGGCAGGGCCCCCACCCTCCAAGGCTCGGCCCAGGAAAAGAGGCTCAGGCCCCTCCGCGTCAAGTTCGGGCAACGCATTCCACAGGCTCTGGAGCGCAACGCTGGCCCAATCACCCGCCCCTGCCTCAGCCTCCCGATGCTCCTGCCAGGGTTGACCCCAGGCAGAACTAAAGTCGGTAGCTTTAACTTGGTCCTTCTGAGTATCCTTCCTGCACCTTCGACCGAACTTCAGCACCCCCACCAGGTGCTGGTGTCCTGGGCTGTCCCACCTGCCTGTCCACCCCCTGAAGGAGAGTTGCGTGCACATTTATTCATAGCGAAGTGTTCATGGCTAAATCATTCCCCCTCCACGCAGGGCAGATTTAATGACTAACACAAAGGGAGTGGCTCGCTGACGTGGTCTGAGGGAAGGACCCTGGGTGGCGGTGACGAGGGGCTGGGGCCTCGGGAGCACCTGAGTTCCCGCGGCCAGGCCCCAGGCCGATGAGCCTGCCTGGGAGACAGGGCCCCAGACTCTTGGCCCGCCCCCGTCCTCAGTCACCGCCCCCCATCCCGGGCCAACTGACCCCTCCTCAAGGACGCGGAAGAGAGAACTGAGCATCGGGCAGGGAGCTCAGCGGTCCCCAGGCCCCTGGGCTCCGACGAGTCCCCAGTCACTCTGTCATGAACGGAGAGCCTCACAGAGCCCTCTCTCCGAGCACCCCCCGCCCCCCACACCAGCTCCCACGCCCGCCCGCCTGCAGGCTCTCCCTTCAGGGACAGCATCCTTGGGGGAGCAGGTCAGGAAGTGAGTAATGAAGAAGGCCCTGCAGGGGTCATCCGTGAAAAGGCAGGAATTTAATGAAAACGGTCAAGGCTGTTACAGGGGTGAGTGCCTCTTGGGCGGAGGCTCCCTTGAGGAATGAGACTGAGTTTACGTGAATCGGATCAGACAGAAAGGGAAGCCTCGCCACTGCCGGGTCCTACGTCCCTAGAACAAGAAGCCAAGTGGGACAGAAACCAAGTCCAGAACAGAACAGACGCCTGCTCTTCAGAGGCTTGGGACACTGTCCTGCCTGAAGGCAGAGGCGGTGAGAGTGAGGGCGCCGCCCCCGAGCTCGGCGCCGGCCGCTCTCGCCGGCAGGCCCTGGTGCTCTCCCGTTGGACGCAAACCGTTTCGCAGGACATCGTATCAGACGGCCGCTCTGTGGCCGCGACAGATCAAGACCTTGCGTGATCACGTCTGCACACAGGCAAAAACGGCAACACCGTCTAAACGACTACAAAGGCCAAGCCACCTCTCTCCTAACCGACGTCCGGGACTGCACCCCAGGCCACCCATTCCGAGGCGAAGGTCCCCGGGCTGCCGTCATGGAGTCCCCCCACCTCCCGAGCGCGTGCAAAGCCTTGCTTCCTTACATCCTACCGGGTCACCTAGCCCAGCGCGTGCTCCACGCTGGTCTTTCGAATGCCTCGACGCCCACGGCCCCACGGCAGGCCGTCTCCCCGTTGCTGCTTCCACCCATGAATGCAGCTTGTTCCGCTGCAGGGACGTTTCAGAGGGGCTCTTTGGCTGGAGGGCGCCGACAGAGGCGACATGAAACTGTGCCCCCAGGATGGCAAGTCCCTCGAGGCCTTTCCAGTCCTTCCCTACCCCCTTCCCCACCCCCGACCACCAAATAGGACGACAGGCAGCCAGATGTTTCTGCAGACACTGTGTGCCAAAGGCCCACCCGTCTGGGTCTCTCTGGATCTTTCCCCAGGAGTTTAGGGCGGGATGGAGGCAGCTCACTTTAATCAGCATCTAGAACAGTGCCTGGCACATAGTGGCTGCTCAATCAAATATGCTGCATGAAGAAATGAATCAGAACCACTTAGACAATAAGGTTTCTCCAAGCCCTTGAAGATCTAAGCAGCTTTAGGACCTTCCATGAGGAAACAAGAATTTCTAAGGAGTAAATAGAGATGCTTGTCCTTCCAAGCATTTTGGCAGCGTTTGGGGGTGCCCTGGAGACTCCGTTTGTTCCTCCAGATCCGTCGTCCATGCTGCTCTGTACCCCAGATTCTGACCCCTGGGATCGTCCAGGCCCCCTTGCCCTCTGGCTTCTGGTGGGTTCCACTGGTGAGAGCGACCAGAGAGTCCAAGGGCAGGAAAGAGAGTTCAGGCAACCGAACTCCTTCACCCCCTGCGGGGGACACAGCGACAGCCGGCACCCCGTGACCGAAAGCGCCTCGGCGGCGGCCCTCTCCTGCCGCTCTCGCTGGGTCTCAGCCCCGACTCCCACCTCCTCCCCGTCAGCCCGGGGGGATCCCAGGGAGGCCAGTCCTAGGGTGTTAGACCACCCAAACCCCACCCGCCCCTTCGTAAATAACCTGTCCATTACACCTTCTTCAACTGCCCTGTTTCTTCCCACTTTCCTGCTGAGCTCAATCTGTCTAATGGGCAGCTTCATAGATCCACGCTCTTCCCAACCCAAACCTGCGGGGTGGCCTCGGAGGCTCTGCCAGGACTTGGGGACACAGGCGCGTGGCTGCTTGTGGGGGGGCGCGGGCCATCGGACCCTCAGTCTCAGGGGGTCCCGTGCGGCAGGCTCCGTCGCCACTAGGAGGGCTCAGCAACCGGGGGAGGGCAGCAAGGACCCGGGCCTCTCCCCAGCCCCAAGGCCGGCAGCGGCTCTCTCTGCAGCCCCAACCCCGGACAACGGCCTGGCCAGTGGAAGGGCGCTGGCGGGGGCCGATGAGGAGAAACAGGCCGGACAGCGCCACCCTTGGGAAGCGTGGGCCCAGGCGCCCCTCACCTGTGGTGGCCAGGAGGTGCTGGGGGCTGCTGGACACGCCTTTCCTCACGTTGCGCAGGGTGACGACGTACTCGGTCCCAGGCAGCAAGCCACGGATGTCGTAGCTGTGCTGCTCCCTGGGCACGTGCACCGGCTGCCCAGAGAGCGCCTCCCCCAGCGGGTGGTAGCCCAGGAGGTAGTGGTCCGCCTCCGCCGAGGGCCGCCAGCCCACCAGCAGGGAGTGCTCCGAGCCCGAGAGCAGCTGCAGGTTCTGCGGGCCGGCCACTGCGGCAGGACGGGGAGGGGAGATGGTGAGGGGGCTGGGGCCCACGCCCAGTGGGCACGCGTCGGACACCCGCTGTACACGTAAACGCTGCCATAATGGGTGTGGGGGGCGGGGAGGCTGGGCAGGGCTGGGAGTGAACATGGACCCCTACACACGTGCACACACACGCGCACACACACAGCCACTCAGTCACATAAGGCCACCGGTCCACACACCAGCAGCAGCAGCATCCCCTGGGAACTTGCTAGAAATGCGCATCCTAAGGCCCCACCCCAGACCTGCTGAGTCAGAAACTTGGGGTGGGCGCGGCCACCTGTGCTTTAAGGAGCCCTCCGGGGGGTCTGATGGGCAGAGGCCGGCGCCCCTCCGAGGGCAGAGGTGACTGACTGGTGGCTGCCCGGTGCCCGAGGCCGTGCACGCCCGGGCCAGCGGAGGCTCCCACTCACCCTGCGCGCAGTCCGGGCCCGTGAAGCCCTCCTCGCAGTAGCACTCGCCCGTGTCGCAGAAGCCGTGGCCGCTGCAGTCGCCGGGGCAGCGCCGCTCGCTGCAGTCCTCCGTGGTGAAGGCCTCGTGGCACCGGCACACGCCCTGCACGCACACGCCCTGCCCGCTGCAGTTCCCGGGGCAGGCGGGCGTGGCGCAGTCAGCGCCCTCCCAGCCCGGCTCGCAGCGGCAGCTGCAGGTCTCCTGCGAGAAGGTTCCGTGGCCGCTGCAGTGGTGGCTCACACCTGCCAGCGAGAGGGGACAGAGCTGAGGGCGGCAGGGGGGCGGGAGGGGGGGCTCCGTCCCTGGGGAGCCCAGAGGGAAGGCCCTGCGGAACGCTTTCACAGGAGGACGTAGGGGGTCTGCCCCTTCCAACCTGGGCCAGACTCTGGCCTGTGAAATCCACGACCGTTTCTTCCTTTTCTGCCTAAAAAAGGAACCCCCTTCCCTTCCCATGCCCATCCCAGGTGCCCACGGGAACCGTCTGGCACTCCCCCCGCTTCATGGTGGTCACTCTTCGGCACCTCCCTAGGATGGTGCCTTTGCTCCAGCCTGGACTGAGTACGGGCCAGGCTCCTGGGTGGGCAGGTGAGCGCCAGGCTGGGCGAGCCCGCTGTACCCTGGCTGGAGGGGGCTGGGCCTAGCGAGGCCAGGTCCTTGGGAAATGAGCCCAAACTGGAGCCTGGGGAAGTGGACCTGCAGAAGCTACATACAAAGTAGCCCAGAAGCCGGGGGCGAGGGTGGGAGGAGGGATTAGCCAGGCTCCCCTCTCTGATCCTGGACAGCAAGAGCAGCTGCGGTCGGCGGGGGGGGCGGGGGAGGGGGGCGTGGGTAGGCCAGTCAGCCCCGCAAAACAGCTGAACACCTGCTCTCCTTCCTGAAAACACTTTCTCCGCGGAGACCCCTCCCACCCCCCAGGGCAGTTCCCCGCTGATTCGTTCCTGTCTAGCTCTGTGAGTAATACATGGGACGCGTGGAAATATATGTGAAGGGCCGCTCAGCATTGTTTGGATCGGCCTGGGAAGTTTCTGTTAAAAAAAGGAAAGGGATTGAGAAGCACAGATTGGTAGTTGCAGAACAGTCATGAGGATATAAAGTACAGCATAGGAAGTACAGTCAGTAACATATTGTGATACCTATGTACGGTGCCCGTGGTGGGGAAGGGTACTGGAAATATTGGGGGAAACGCTTTGTAAAGTCATACGATTGTCTAAGCAGCTACGCTGCACGCCTGAAACTAATACAAAGTAACATTGAATGTAAACTGTAATTGAAAATGTTTCCTTGCTTCTTTTGCAGGCATCCTGGGTGTTCAAAGACAGAAACACCATGCTGCTCCCCCTCACCCCCGCCCCCCGCCCTCGCCTTCCTCCACCCCTGCCCCCACCCCCGCCCCCCGCACCTGTCTTTGCTGTCTTTGCCGTCTTTGCCGTCTTTGCCCGGCACCTCAGTTCCCGTCAGACCAGGCCTTGCCGGTGTGCCCAGGGACAGGGTGTGGAAGGAGGGGTCCAAACTCAACCCCCTCCCCCACACCTCCCTCAGCAAACCAGCAGCAAACCTGCTGAGGGAGAGTAAAAGAACGGCCCACCTTCCCCGCAAAGGAATCTTGTCTGGGGAGGGGAGATTTCCGTGGCCTGTGCAGTGGGCTACTTGCTAGAAGATATTATAACAGCGATTTCCAAACCTACGTGAGCTCCACCAGTGCCTCCTTCCCATGCCCCCGGGCCCACGTTAACGAGGCCGAGCAGGAAAGGAGCGAGCAGTTCCAGGCGCCCCGCCAGCGGCTGACCCCCTCCCTGCCCAGCCTGGAGGGGTCTCGGCCCCATCAGGACGCCCCCGCCCCTGCCGCCCCAGCAGACCTCTCTTTAGCCTTGGGCTTGGGGACGCAGACAGAGCAGCCGCCCCTCTCCTGGCCAAAGAGGTGTCGTCCCCCCAGCACGGCGGGAGCCGCCAGCCCAGGGTCTTTCCTCCCAGCAGCAGTCCCCAAACTCCTTAATTTTACTCTCAGCTATTCTTTAATGCCCAGCCTCCTCTCACTCGGCTCAGTCAGGAAGACAAATTTGCCCCTGACCCCACAAGGGGAGGCAAAGCGGCCCTCCCCCTCTGAGCCCTCCCCACCAGCCCCCACTGTTCAAGGTCCTTAAAAAAGTTAGGGGGGAAAAAACTATCTGCCGACTCTCTACTATGGGCCAGATGATGTCTTAAATACATCATCTGTGGTTCTCAGAACCAGACTGGCTGACTGAATTACCCTCACTGGACACTTTAGGAAACAGGAATTTGCCTAACGTCACAGAGCTAAGAAGTAGCAGAACTGAGACTTGTCCCCAGTCCTGTCTTGCTCCTTCCTCTCGAGTCCATCGCTTTCCCCAGCAGAAGAGGCTGGCTCTGCTGGTAAAGCGGCACCCGGCGGCCCGCTCGTCAGGAGGCATTAACCCAGGAGTTCAGACTCACTGCAAGGCACCCCGCACCCTGTCCTCCCCGCCGGCCACGTGTGCCCCTGCAGCCGCTGCCAGTGCCGAGTCCCCCAAGGAAACCCAGAGGGGCTCACGAAGTGCTTCTTGAACGAACGGGGGCGGCGAGCTCACCGGCAGCCCCTTGGCAGCAACGCTGGGCGTGGCACCGCGCCTTCACCTCCGCCACCTCCTCCTCCAGCCTCCTCACCCGGGCCAGGAGGTCCCGGACGGGGTCCGCCAGCGCACAGTCCTTCTGCGGGGTCTGCAGGCGGATGTTGTGTCTGAAGATGACATTCTGTTCCCCAGCCTCTCCCAGGGCCAGGAGTGAGGCCCCCTCGTCCCCGAGGGGCTGAGGGTCCGCTTCCACCTGGACCAGCGCGGACTTGGGCACGTCAATCTTGTAGGTGTGGCTGACGGTCACCTGATGCTGCTCCTTGTCACTGCAGCCAGGAGGCTCGGGAGTGGCCGGGGCCGAGGCCGCCAGGAGCACGGAGCCAAATAGGAGCCCCAGGGGGACGCAGGACATGCCCCGATGACCCATCCTTGGAGAGACGAGGAGGAGCAGGCCTGTATCTAGAAGAAATGCAAAAACAGCCATAGAGATTTGCGGATGGAAACCAGCCTCTTTAAGCAGATTCTGAGAGTCCACAGGAAGCTGAGAAACCAGCAGAAAAACTTCACCCTGCATCTCCTGAGGACCCGAACTGCGCTGTCTTTCGCTCTGTCCTCACGCATTGCACGCTCCTGCCTCCTGCCTTTGCTTCCTGTTCCCACTCCGGGGAGGCCCTTCTTGGCGCTCCTCGCCCTGCACTCGCCTGCACTTTGACAGGAGCAAGGAGAAGGGTCTGGCGCTGAGCCCCCGCTGTGCGCCAGGCCCCCCCCCCCGCCCCCGCCGCCCCGTCTCCACAACAACCCCAGTGCGCCCCTCCCGCCAGTGGTGCCGCAATCGCGGCCGCGCACAGGGCGCAGGATGCGGGCCGTGGGCCGGCACTGTTCCGGGCCGTCCACACTTGTCACCTCACTTGCACAGCAACCTTCATGGGATTTACTATTATTACCCCTGTTTTACAGAGAGGGAGACCAAGGCGCGGCTACCTGCCTTAAATGATCTCCTGGGCACGCGTCCTGGACGCGGCACCCAGGGCAGCTCACCGCTGGGAACTGAACGGCACGGCGCTGGAGAGGCCCTCCCCGCGCACCCCTTCCCGGCTCCTCCGAGCAGCCAGCGCGCCGCGTGGGTGCGGACGCGAAGGCGAGCTCACCTTTTCGGAGCGCTGGCCACATCCCAGGAGCTGGCCTGGACGCACGCAGACGCAGCAGGGTGTCGGCGGGTCAGCTGCTGCGCTCGCGGGGTGTGGGCGGTGGGTGAGCAGCGCCCGCCCATTTCAAGGGGCTGGGGGTGGGGGTGCAGGGGTGGAGGGCAGTGACCTGGGCCGGCCCCTTGCCCAGAGGAATCAGAGGCGCGTGCTCGCCGGGAGCAGGCTGCAGAGAGGACATTGGAGGAGGCCACGCGGCGGAGGCCTGCACCCCAGCGTCCGGGCGACAACGGTGAGTCCTGCCACAGAAAACAGGCAGCCGAGGGCGGGCGCTGAGTGCACCCCCAGCTCAGCCGACTGGGCCGCCCCAGTGGGCAAGCACCGGAGGAGGCGCAGCGGGCAGAACAGAGTGAGGGCTGTCTGACAACACCACACGCGGTTCCCACAAGGGCGGCGGGGGCGCCCCCGTAGCAAGGCCATCTGAAAGCCACAGGGGACGACCTCAGCCCCGGTAACCACTGGCGCCTCTTCCCTTCCCCTCGGACCCCCACCTCCCTGCCTCGGACGGCACGGGCCGGGGGGTGGCAGCACTGCAAGTGTGTGTGTCCTGGATGGGGCGGGGCGGGAGCACCAGGACGTCTTCTGCCCCCCGCCCCCTCCTGCTCATCTTCAATTCCAGCCTCGGGCCTGAGCCGAGGGCAAAGAAAGACGTGGCCGGGTGGGACCCGAGGCTCTGCTGTGGGGATGGGCCTGCCTCTCCCCAGAGGCTTCTCTTCCACACCAGGAGCAACAGAAAAGCTCGAATCGGCTCCAGACTTTTGCCAGAGGCTGGGAGAGGTGAGGCGAGCCAGCGCAAGGCCCGGCGTAGGATAACAATGATGCTGTTTCACACCAGCTGTCTTCCAAAGCTCAGCCCGGTGCCGTGGCGCTGTCCCACACTGGTTCCCTGCCTGCCCTTGAGCTGGGACGGGCTCAGAGGCATGAGGCCAGCGCCCCTGACTACGCAAGGCCCCTGCCAGGCCACAGACTCAGCCCCAGGCCACAGCGCCCCCTCGTTGGGCCGCCTCGAGGAGCTGTTAACCCCCAGGGCTCATGTGCCGTCCCCAAAACTGCACAGATTGATCTCAAAATGCCTTCTTGGTATAAGGCAGCACGTGCGTTTCCATGGCCCAAGACCCCCTTCCCGGGCAACAGCAGGGCTACAGCGCAGACCCGGCCCCCTCCGCCCCCTCCTGCGCCCCACCCCGAGGCCCAGCCCGGGCTCGCAGCTCTCAGGCAGAAACGGCACGCAGACGGCGTTCTGAACCACCGCGGAAAAGCCAGGCTCTTGCCATAAACCACAAGGCCGCATGCAGCCCAGTCTCACGGTATTTGTTTTTTGAAGCCTGGAATATGAGAAACCCCAGAAGCCCTTGCAGGGGCCCTGGGGTGTCCCTGTCCCAGGCTGTAACAAGATGTCCTCGCTAATTACAGCCTTGCCCGCGCCACTCGCTGAGCTCAGATTTTCCTGGGCAGAGTCATTGCTCGAAAGAAGACGGGCAGACGGGGAACCCTCGCCCCAGCCGGCTCTGTCTGTCTACGGTAAGGGCAACAGGAGACGGCTCCTGGCTCCCCCTCCGACACGTGGCAGGAGGCACCAGCGGCCTAGGGAAAGGATGACCTCACCACTCTCCCAGGCGGGGCAGACCACAGGCAGAGCTCCCCGAGGCTGGGGGGAGGGGGAGGGGGCAGACCAGGGCCAAGGCGGGTGGTGAGTTTCCGAATGGGACCGCTTACTCTGTGAGGACGTTTCTCACAGAAAGTGGGGTGAGTGCTGCGGGAGCATGTGAGGCAAAGGGGGTTCACTGGCGGGAGGCCCGCAGGACACCAGGGTCCCAGGATTCGCTCTCACCGCCTGACCACCCCCTCGTCCTGACTGCAGGAGGGGTGCTGGGCAGTGAGGACAGGCGAGGGCAGGGGCACGCTGAGCCCCAGGACGCGTGCTGCCTGAAGTTGCTTTTTCGAGAAAGGCTCCTTGAGGCGTGTGACGCTGACGGCGAGCTGGGTGGACGGTCCCCTGGTTCTTTCTGAGACACACTGCTGTCGCAGGTGTACAGGTATCTGCGCTCTGTGTCTTCCTTCTTGGTGGCCACATCTACCCCTGTGGCTTGAATTTCCAGCCAAACACTCCCAAATCTGTGTGCGAGTTCCCGGACCAGCTCAGGGATGGCAGTGGCCATGACCGTGTGGGTCCCCTCCGTGTCCCCAGCCTCATGGCACAGTCCTGGCCAAAGGAATACTTTGCGTATTGAACTGCAATAGCCACTGGGTGTTTTGCATGTTCATTACATGATGGGTTCCATGCCAAATACTTCATGGACATCATTCTCATTTAATCTGCAAAATCCCAGGAGTCTACAGATATCACTCTTTGTTACAGATGCTCTCGCGGCTGAGTGACCTGCCCGAGGACACAGGGCTGACCAGCCAGAGCTGGATAAAAGGCCGGTCCATCCATTCCCACGTCTGTGTTCTCCCCTCTCTGCTGCATGTACTCCCCCAAATGAGAAAACTGAAGGGGAAGACCAGAGTGTCCTCTGTCCTGTTGCATAGAGGAGAGGGATTCTCCTCAAAATAAAGGAGACCCAAGGCATCCTACGTGCTCAGTTAGGTGTTAATCGTTCAATAACTGGATCCTGCGCCTGCACGTCCCCTGAGCAGAGCCAAGCATGCCCCCTGTAAGGACAAATGCGCGTCTCCCCCATGGGGAGTTGGGCCCTGGTCACGTCTCAGCTGGGGAGTCCCCTTCCTGGGAAACACAGGAGCAGGCATTGACCAAGCGTGGCCAGAGGAGGCGGATGGGCCCCCAGTCCGCCCAGGACCACCCTCTCCAATCCCAGGACAAATGGCCTCCGTGCCACCCCATTTCCCCCAAAGAAGGACACCCCCCCTGGCCAGGAATAAAATAAACCGCTGACACCAGAGAGGGGGCGGCCAACTCCACAGCCGCCGCCACGGTCCTCCTGCGGGAGCCCAGGGCTCCCCGGCTCCCCCGCTGCCTCCGCCCGCCTCCTCAGTGAACCCCAGCAAACAGGAGCACTGCCTGGGGTTTTAGAAAAACCGCGCTATCAAGGGTTTCCAGCGGGGTCGCTTCAAAAGATACTCTGTCCCCACATGACAGGGCGGCGTCACTGGGCCATGAAGGGACGCAAGCGTGGCCATGCCCAGGCGGCTCTGTCCCTGCTGGGTCCCACTCCAGTTAGCCCCGGGGCGTGTAGGGATGTTTGTATTTCTAGCCTCCGCCACATCGAAAATCTGCTCAGGCGTCCGTCTAGGATGCGGGGCAGCCAGGTGTGGGCGAGAACGAGGAGTTGGTTTTGTGGGACCAGGCGTAATTAAGGTGGTCCCTTTCTGTGCGTCTTGTCCCCTCACTCTTCCAGTTCCAGGGCACACATCCAGTAGGCACCCTCGTATCTGGAGATGACTCCCGCCCCACCGTGCCACGCCCCTCTCCCTGAAGACCTATTCCCGCCAAGTCTGCTGGAAACGACAAGGGCCTCGGCCTCAGCACTCAGTCCCTTTGCCCGGGGGGCCACAGGCGGCTGCGGATGCTTTGTGCTGTCAGCCGAACCTTGACCCGCCTTGCACAGGCTCACACAGGTGAGGGCAAGGACAGCGCCATTTTCTAAGCGCCTGCCACATGTGTGCCCCTGTGCCAAGCATTTTAAAGGGTCCTCCGGAAAATGCGGGGCAAAGATGTCGTTTCGCCCCCCAAGAACAAACCCCTTTCTCACAAGAGACCTTCCCTTTGCCTTCTCGGGAATGCACGGGTTCACGCAGAGGCCCACGATCACATGGGCACAGGGCGTATGTTCAAGGACCCCGAGCCGTGCTGAATCGACACCCAGTCGCCGGGACGACTACAGGTCGCCTCGGACACGGTCAGCCTCCTGCCCGCGGCGGGGCGCCCGCCAGCAAACCCGGCTTCCCCTGAAGAGCAGCGACGGGGGACGCGATGAAGAGGCTGCGGTCCCTTCCCTTAGTTTGATGGGTGCCTTTCCACAAGCAGAAGTAACTTTAAATGCCGGCCTTCTGGCAAAGAGGAGAGGCTTTTCTTTGCTCATTTCCAAGGGCCTGCGCGGCTCCACCCGCCCTCTCTGGGTCTGCCTTTGGGACCGCAGCTCGCATTGGCGCGGCTGTTGGTGGAGACAGCGGCCAGTGGCCTCAGCAGCCAGGCTGCTGCGGCGAAGCCCAGCGAAGCCCTGGCCTGTGGGGCATCGGCCTGAGGCTTCGGTGTCCCCGCTCG